TAAAATGTAATTCTTATCAAATTATGAACTTACATTCCGCAATTTCTGAGGATCCCTAACAACGAGGCGGAGGAAGTCTTCGACTGAAAATATTCCATTATTATTTAGCCTCTTGTGAAATGAACCATCCTTGCCAATCTTTTCCAATCTCCATACTTCATCATGTAAAGCAGGTGGATAATGCTTTTTGTACACTGTAAAGATCCAAAGCAACACACATAATCAGAAACTGTACTGAACAAAAAAACATTTAAAGGTCCATAACGGAGAGTTATTACATTCTCCTCTGTGATCCTTAACAGTAAAAGCTTCTGTCTTGGCCTCACGAATGCGAATGCCTTCACCAAATCCAGGGGCAACCTTCAAGCCTAGCCTGAATTTTCTACTCCTTATCCAGCTGGAGTTATCAGTAAATGTCAATTCCCCAATGGTTCCTACACCTTCCTTGAGTGTAATTTGCAAGTCCCCTGTCAATAGTGGCCGCTTCCCTTCACGCTCTTTAACAACATGGCTTTCAAATTCTTCTTGGGTCCACCCCTCATCGTCTTCATTGTTAAAATCACCTTCAAGCACAACTACATCCAGTTTCACCGAGGATTCTGGCCCAGAGGTGACAACATGGCCAGTATTTACATCGACTAAAACTACATGAATTGCAGCACCCTGCTCCCCCTCAACTTTCCCTCCTGTGAAGAGCGGAAGAGACAACCGTGATCTAAACTGCAGCTGCAAGTTCCTTCCATCCGGACCTTCAATTCGCTTGGGCGATGCTCTGACATCAAATTATTTCAAATTAATGTTGTGACCCCTGGACTAAAACAATCTTTTGTTTGTTCAAGTGAATGCGCGCGCACGTGAGAGAGAGACAGACAGACAGACAGACAGACAGACAGAAACAGAGACAGAGACAGAGACAGAGAAGATAAAGAAAAAAAATAAAACAAGGCAACAGTATCTTCCAAGAAAGAAGATAATTAAACCAATTTCATGACAAAAGGCCACACCTTCCATTTAGTCTAGGAGGCCCCAACTTAGCCAGTGCTCGTTCAACTTCCTCGCTGACCTGCTCAGAATCAATTACATGAGAAGTAAGGAGATGCCAGGTCATAGTATAGTGATACATGATCTATCACGTCAAGGAGAAGCGCAGTATCCTTCTTCTACATCATATCATGTTTCAAACACAAGAAATTGAAAGTATTAAAGCCAAAAAAAACTCAGGCTGTTAGAAACCATATTGAAACAAGCGATTATGGGCCATAAAAATGTTGTAAATCTAATTGACCATCTTCTCAATGTAAACAGAACATCAACTTACAGTAAGTATTGCCTCGAAATAGAAAAACTATCTCCAGTTAAGAAGAAGAAACAACTGTATTCATTTCATCAAAATGCATTCAAAGGCACATTATTTACTAGATACAAGATCAAAATTCTCAAACCATGTCATCAAATGTATGACAAAAAAAACCAAACATATACCGAAAAACCAAAAAGAGCGCGGTATCTTACAACTCTCCGAAGGATAGGTTCCAATGATGAACACAGCTTCTGTAAACTGTCAACCTTGAGAGCTTCTACAATTACACTGCACAATTTGAAGTCGTATTAAAAAAATTGCATATTACAAGAAACAAACAAATGTTCCACCAACATAATCACCTGCCAGTAAATTTTGCAGACTATCAGAGAACTTTGACTAAGGTGTCAAATTGCAAAATTTGCAGCCTTAGAGCAATTCTAGAGTTACTGTATGTAGGAATGACATTCCGGAGATTAAAGCAATGTGAGTCATGCAGCTCAAGTTGAGAGAACAAAAAGATGCAAATAAATATCAAGAGATGCTTGGGATAAAACACACTAGTGATTCGAGAACAAGTAATATAGGGAAGACCTGCCCAAGAAAGAAGCAATGCAGATGAAAATCCCCAGAGAAAGAACAATGTAAATAAATGATGAAGCAAACCACGAGAGCAAAGCCGACGCAGGAGAGGAGCTGTAATTTATTATCTCAAACTCCCCAGAAGTCAAATAGTTAAAAGACCAATGTGAATGGAGTAAGGACAGAAAGAAACATAAAAACCTTCAAAAGAACAATATCAAACAAGTTAAAACTAAGGACACAAGTTTCCGAAACATGACATCATGGCCCTGCTCACATTTATTTATTATGCCAAAAGCTTCAAAATATATAGCCTTTTCAAGGTGAAGTACAGCTAAACGTTTTGTTCGGCGAAGGCTGCCAAAACTTCAATGAAATAGGATTACACTAGTTGGAGTATCATAAAATTAACTTCATTCACAGAGGAGGAGGGGGGCAAGGACATATTAGGATAGGCTCCACATGCCATTGAAAGTGGGGGGGAAACACTTAATGCTTCAGCCTGCTGAAGTAGCAGTTAGAAAAAATCCCATTTCGAGAAGCAAAGAGCCACGGTTCATTTCGACTCGATACGAAAAAAAGAAAAAAAAATTTCTCAGTTTGCTTCACAAACATCAGATTGACTAAATTGAGTGCGAAAACACCGAGACCTTCTCAAAAGTACAATCTCGCGCGAGAAGACCGGGTGGGTATGCTGAACGAAAGACAAGCACACTTGAACAGACGGGGTGGGTATGCTCTCACCTCGCAAGAGCAGGCCGCTTTCTCTCCTGCTGCTCGTCTTCACCCTCCAAGCTCCTTTTCCCTCTGTTATTCATCGAATTGGTCCTCTCCACGTACCTAGCCTGCCGGTCCATATTCCCAGCAGATCTGCAGGACACGAAGAAACCATCACACCCATCAGCAGCTCCCTCGGCTCAAATCCACGGGACCCCGAGCAAGACACGCGCACGCCCACCCCCATATCCCCCAAAAGCTGATCTAAAACAACAAAACCCACTTCAGGCCACCCCCAGCTTCCATCCCAACACTCCAACCACACGGCAGCAGAGGCAGCAATCAGGAAAAACCCCCCAAAATCAAATCTCGACACTGTTCGCGAGATTCCAGATCTCGACCCGCCCTCATCCGGCCTAACCCGGGACCACAGGCGAGAGGCGGATTAGAGCCCAAGAGCACTCCGAATCGGAGCGAGGAGCGAGGAGCCCGCCAATCAATCCGCCCGACGGCAGGATGATGATGATCCGCGAGCTTCCCCGCTCCGGTCATCGGAAGCTCAATCGCGACCCCGAAAAACAGAGAAAGAAACGAAAGGGGACGGACACAGCATCACAATCACACGGGACTACACACAACTAGAGATATAGATAGAGAGAGAGGGAGAGAGAGGGAGAACCTGAGGGCGGTAATGGAGGGGGGGGGGGGGGGGGGGGGGTTTGGGTGGAGCGAGAGAGAGAGAAAATCGAACGCTTTCCCGAGAAAATCGAAGGGATTTGGGAGCTCGTGTGCGTGTGTGTGTGGGGGGGAGGTGGGTGATGAACTGTTTGCGGGAGGCGAGTCTCCGCTTGGTCTCTCTCTCTCTCTCTTTCTCTCTATCTCTCTTCTGCTATAAATATCCAAAGTCCACTCTGACGACTTGTAGCTGGGCCAGTGGCAGTGCTCTGGTGCTACACGGGTCTACCTTATCAGTCCCACAGCCGCAGCCGCTGTCTCATCTAATCCTGATGACGATCGCGATGAAATGACACGTGTTGGGAGGATACGGTAGAAGCCTGATATGATACCTACACGTGGGAATACCGCCAAATCCGAGCCGGTCAACGTATCCAAAAGCTTGGATCTATATTTACTCAAAAGCTTAAATCAATAAATTATATATACTTTAATGTGTACGTAATTTACTTTAGTGCATAAATCTTTTTTTTTAATTTAATATGTATACTTTAATGGATGTCTCGAAATTCACTCCCGATTGGAAATACTGGCTCGATAATTACTTAGGATAATATAACAAAACTAGGGTTCTCAATGAGAAAAATAGAATTCAAAAAATTAATAGCTCGAATCCTCTCGAATATTTCCATCGATAGCCGTTCGGCTAATTTTAGAGAACGGGTGTGTGCGATCATCACTACATCTTATGTACGATCCTGGAATAATTTTCCGACACTCAGGTTAAACAAGATCCTAATATTTCGACAACAATCGTATCCATGTTTTTTTTTTTTTGCATAAACGTGCCATAATATTGCCTGCCCAATTAACTCATGCGCATGTGACTTTAGGTAATTTTTTTTGGATTAATACCACAAAAAACCCCAAACTGGTATACCTGTAACAAATTTATTCCGAATTAATTTTTTGACCACAAAAAACCCCAAATTGGTACATCTATTACAAATTTACCCCAAACTAATTTTTTTTACCACCAAAAATCACAAACTGGTACATTTGTGATAATTTTACCCTCCGTTAAATTGTATAATACAAAAAAAAAATCACAAAGTAGTACACATGTAAAATCCTAAATTAGTACATCCATCAGCTATCACGTGTCATTTAACTAAGAAATTCGCCAATACAATTTAACGGAAACTAAATGAGGGTAAATTTATCACGAGTGTACCAATTTGAGATTTTTACTGATTAAAAAATTAATTTAAAATAAATTTATCACAGATATACCGATTTAAGATTTTTGGTGGTATTAACTTCTTCTTTTTTTTCATGGCAAGCGGTGTTGCGGGCCTACCACCGTCCGCGGACCACCTGATAATTCCCGACGACGACGAATAAAGAGTTGCTTTTCCTTTTTGGCCCCATGCGAATCGAGAGAGTTGGATCCCATGATGCGTGCCCCCTCGAGCGCCTAGGATCGCCCGCGACGGGAGCCAGCGCCATCGTGACCGTCCATTTGTTTGTCCGAACGCGGTTGATCACGCTCGCGTACCATTGGCCCCTTTTTTTTTTTCCCGAAAATGTTCTTTTCCTTTGCCTTTTTCAATTTTAGTTCTCGAGTCCGACCGAGAAAAGAAAAACAAAAAATTTAGTTTTCGAGAATCAAGCGGACGTCAAGGGTACCAGCAGAGGCAGACGTCACCTTTGTCTTAGCTGGCTGTTGGGTGTCATCGCGGACAAATTTAATTCGTCTAATTCCGAACATGGTACATTCCATGTTTTATGCTACTACATGAGATAAAGGAGGACGAAAACATTACTGTTCTAACCACTAAAAACAGAGATTTATCTCGGGCAGGTCCATTACTAAAACAGGAAAGTGTTCGATCAGAATGGAAGCCGGTCGGCTGCTACATCGAACTAGGCTACTCCCATTAGGCGCCCAATGAGAAATTGGAATGCGAAGGTTCATACCGAGGAGCGAATATGAGTCGGGCGAGAAGATGGCTTCGCGTTCGTGACAGCGTCCGTTTCTGGTTTTCCGTGGGCCCGGTGAAATGCTTCCAGGTTTCTCTGAAGCTTGACTAGCAGCTGGGAGCATGTCTCAGGAGGAGTGCAGGGACCACACATGAGGTAGATGACATTGCCCAGTGGCCTCAAGTACACCCCATCCTCACGCAGCATCTGAAGGAGAGCCCTCGAGTATAGTGAAGCGTACCTGCGAGAGAGTCTTCATTGGTTTAGAAGATGTGTTTCTGACGTGACGAAGGAATAGGCAAGCACTGGCCCGACAACGCCGAATTGACAACGTATGGGCATAAATGGCAGATGTAAATCTTTAGTGGATTCTTGAGAAACAGGAGAGTACTCCTTAGGATAATCTCTAAGAAGACAGGATCCACCAAGATGATGTCGTAAAGAAAAAAAACCTCGATTTTACATGGCTAATGTCGGCCAGTGCAAGTTGAGATGAACAATGACCTAAGTCCCAGCAAACTACTAATTTCATCTCCTTGTAAGTGGGGAAAGTGATTTGCTTTCTGATTTTACCAATTTCTCTAACAGACAAGGATGGCATCCTTTCCAGAAGGTGCCTACTAAAACATCCCAATATTATGTGCCTTAATCATCTAAACGGTGAGTTAAGATTGCAAGAGTATATTGAGTTGGAAGTGACGTAGTGACATTGCTTCTCTATAGAAGGTTAAGAAGAGTACCCAGCATTGGAGCCTTCAGCTCGGAGTTCCAGAGCAAAGAGAGTTCCCAAGGAGATAACTCTTTGGACTGCTGGGTGAGACGAAATTTGCGTGACTAACTCGAAATCCCACAACTGCAAGAGCTCAAACATTGTGTATTATTGAATTATCTGCACAGATACGTATATAAATAGGAATGGATAGGAGATGATGCTATTAGTAACGCTGACCGCATCATTAACTATCCAAGCAAACAGAAAGTTGTTAGTTGACAAGCATATATATGCGTCTCAAATGTTTATTTTCCCCACACTTCTATTATATCTAGGACAAGCGAATCTCTTACTAATTAAAATCATACTCTTGAGAATAAAGAGCAATTTCTTTTACCTCTCTAAGCACCTTCCCTTGAGGAATGATGTTGTGGTTCATCTGAGGATCTTTGAACCACTTGATGGATTTAGTGGCCGCTGTGCACCCGACAGCATGTGCAGAGTACGAGTGTCCATGCAAAAGCGCCTTGAGCTGTAACAAGACAATTCAAGCATTTGACTCGCACCATGGATATATGTATGGTAGTTTTCTTTTGATAGGCAAAATGTGCAAGGTGACTTGCCAGCATCCAACCACACGGTTAAATGTACAAACAACCTATGGAAGACATTAACATTGCCCTTGCCTTTAAATTCAAACTAACTAGCATGCATTTTCCACTATTAGATTCGGAAAAAGCATGAAAAAAACGAAGAGGTGTGTAACTATATTCCATCGACAAAATGATGCTATGACAGTGTAATGCTTGCTCTAGGGAAGTCAAGACATCTGTGGCATGTGAAATTTCACTTTAAAAGATAGAGTGAATCCAGGAATTCGGCAAAATATAACTCAAATACATAACGAAAACTGGTATTTGGTTAAAAGCTTAAAGTGACACTAGAGCTGATAAATGAGTCATATTAAGACTGCATAAGTACAAGAAACTATCAAAGCTATTCTGCAAGTTAAAGTGCTGCACAGCATTTGTAAGAGACAAACATCTGTACCAGTTGCTATAAAGGTTCACTAAGCGAACCAAATGCAGCCATCGAACTCAACGAACAGATTTAAAGCATAAATAAAATCATAGGACATCAGTTACCATGCATTTTACGGAGTATGCTCTATCAACCATAATTAAGGACAAAACTTGAGTCCTTACTGAAAATACAATTAGATAACATCACCCCCTACATTTGCCTGTTACGCAGATGGAGCATTTCAAGTTGTACCATGAATCATGACAAAAGGCGAGCTGTCAAAATGCATCAATCAGGAAGCAGTCAACACCTTATCATAAATTCATGTTATTTCTATCATGTTAGCCACGAGAAGATACCTTTGATTCCCCAAGAAAAGCAGTAAACACGGCATTTGTCGCCAATGTGACAGCCAAGGGTATCATCCCACCAGTCATCAATTTCGCAAAGCAGGCTATATCTGGCACACATCCAAGCAGTTCTGCGGCAGACTGGGAAAACAAGTAAATCACATCCCACTCCAGCTAGAAAAATCACTGAACAAGCAAATGAAAAGGTAAAACATTTGTAATCAACCAACCTCTGTTCCCAAACGCCAGAAACCAGTGAAGACTTCATCAAATATTACTGGAATCTTTTGCCTTTGGCACTCGTTAACAAGTACACGTTGAAAAAGTGGATCAACCATGAGCATTCCTCCAGATCCTTGTATGACTGCAAAATTGATTTGCAACAATTAATCATATCCAAATATTCCGAACAGCATAAAACATACAATTTTGTGCTGTGGCCTTTCAACTAAAACAATTGAGATATAACCAAAAAGCAGCATGACTGGGAAAACAAGAATGCAAGAGTAGGTCACTCTGGCTCAGGGAAAATAGTTTTACAAATCAAGGACTGAAACTCAGTCCACAACAGCGAACAAACATTATAACTTCTTAAGAACAACAAGGCCCATTAGAGCAGAAGGAATCCCATTATTAGCCCAAAACAATGGTGTTTAGCACTATATGGATACCCTCATCTCAAACGCGGTGAAACTAACTTTATGTCCATCCTGAGGCAAAACCAACAGAGAGAGAGAGAGAGAGAGAGAGAGAGAGAGAGAGAGAGAGAGAGAGAGAGAGAGAGAGAGCTGATGAGGTTATGCAAATTAGCGAATCAATCCTATCCCTGACCTGAGGAAAAAAAAAACTAATAAATTCAGATGCATTTGACCGTGGGAGAGTTTTCTTGCCTGGTTCTATAATAAGTGCCCCAATGTACTTAGATCCCCTTGATCCTGATAGATGTTGGGATATATATAATGAGTATATACCAGAAAGATCCGATTCATCCCTGCTCTTGCAGAAAATTTCATCACGAGAACTGAACGCTGCACAAATTTGAAGACAACTTAATTATGGCCTAATGACAGAAAGCAGAGCCAAAAGAAAAAACTTGTCTAGGTGAATGTATTAGAAGATAACGTACTCATTTTGTCAAATTCAAAACTTTTATTATGTATCATCGCTGGTAAGGAAAGTTTCCAAACACTTCTGTGCAAAAAAACTGTAGGAGGATCCAGAAAAAGACCTCTCCCAGTGTACCTGTAAAAATTAGTGAGCTTCCTTTTTAAATAAACTAGAACTCATAACTTGCCGTGATTTGTTCTTGCCTGTGGCTATACATCAGGCACAAACCTGGAAAACTGCCACTTTGCCAACAGAGAAAAAGCAAAATGCATGAACAGCCAAGAACAGCAAGTCTAAAAGATTAAAGAAACTCTTAAGCAATGGAATCAACATTACAATAAGACTAAGCCATTCTAAATGCATGCAATATCGCCTCCATGAGGATGATTTTAAATTTATTAGTTCCAAACACACCTCACTCCTCTTCTTTTGCCTATAGATACTAACCAACTAGGACCAAATGCCTTGATGTAAGCTTCAAAGTCTTAAGACTCTGACTGACAAACAAGTAGCATAAACAAGGAGACAGTACATTATTATCTAACTACATACACAGCATATTACAAACTATGTTAGAATAAAAATTGAGAATTGACCTGGCTATCTATCTGTCCTTAGGCCTTTTAAGCAATACCAAGCAAGACTTATGACAGGCAGGAAAGTTATGCCTATAGCCTAGCCTGGTCCCACTAAGACAAAGAATTTTTACAAAATACGCTAGAGCTCCCTTTCCCCACGAAGCAAGACAAGACGGAAAGGGGAGAAAAAAGAAGTCAAGTTACGTTTACACATCCAATTCTTCATCCCTAGTACAGTGACCAGTTCAAAATACAGGGAAAAGTATTTTCCAAAAAAATAGCCGAAAAAGCCAACAGCTATATAATGAATACATATTTTTCAAGGGAGAAGAAAGAATAGATTCTTCAGTACGTTTCATGAACAAATGGCCATACCATGGCTGCTGAATAAAGCTGGTATAGGCTGATGGCGATTGTGCTTCCATAGCACCTAGAGTATCTCCATGATAAGAACCCTTGAGAGCTAGAACCTGCAGTAGACGAATTTGAAAACATACATCAAACACTGATTTGACGATATTACAACTACAAAATCGCATGGGTTGTTTGGCTTGTAGAGTGGAATGGGATTGGATTAGAATGATATAGACTACAGGCCCTTCTAGAGTTGAAAACCTCACGTTATCATACCAAAAAGACGGTGTTCTATTAGGATTACATCAGGTATATAATATATCCATAATTCCCACCAAACAAACATGCAAAGTTATAGAGATTTGTGCCTAGCAAAACAACTCAAATCGATCGATCGAATTAAGGAGTAGAAAACGAACCGAGGCCAAGCGTAAACAAAGACCAAAAACCTTTGGTTTTTACATCAACAGTGACTACTATTAGAGCATATATAACCTCCAAAAAATGTCCTCAAAAAGAAAATGAAGCAATGCACACAGAGTACATTAGACCACAAAACAAGTAAACAAGCTAACTAAAACCCTTTTATTAGAAAGGTGACAGAAAAGAATGAAACCTACCAAAAGTTCTGGCTGTTTTTCAGAAGTATCGCCAATTGAATTTTCTGGAAGAATTCCTATATCAGCAGAAAATACACGGAAAGCCATCTTGAGAGCAATCTCAATAGCAGTAGATCCATTATCCGAGAAATATACTCGAGAAGCCCAACCTGAAAAAGGTAGATGCAGTCCCCAGTTACAGATAAATTGAGCACTATAAGTCCACTAGGTGCTCGTGTGTAAACTCAACAATCGAGGAGTGCACTAGGAGTCGAGGTTGTACAGTCATATAATTAAGTAGCATAAGCAAAACGACTCAACCTTAAAGCACACTAGTTATTCGGTCCCAATTCAACAACCTAAACTAAACTGGAAAAGGTCAACAAACTTCAAAAAAGAGCATAATAAACATTTATATACAACCTGATTCAATTGAACATGTATATACTCGGTAACATAAGACACCCGAAAGGAAAACAAAAGAGCACCAGAAGAGAGGCCAAAGTCAAATTTTGATAGTATTGCGAACAAAAGTTACGATGATCGCTAAGATGGCGCAAGAATATCTTCTGACCTTCTCCAACACCACCCAACAAAAGCTCCGCACATTCTAAGGCTGGCTCGTAAACATTTTCTGGGAACATCACATGCCCAAATCTTGCAGCCGCATAACCCATGTCCCTTGCAAGCTCAGTCTGTAAACACCTAAACATACATGTCCACATTAAAAAGAAAATTCAGGAGATCTATCATAATGCACAAGAAACACTACAAATGAGAAACACCTCAAAAAGAAAGCAAGAGAATCAAGCAAACTGATAGAGTCTGTGCTCTCTGATATTTGGTGTATCTTACTACCATTACATATTATTGTCTAGTGAAACAAGAGGTGAGGCACAATTGTTGGACTATATTCACCTTCTCTGCTTAGATTGACAACATTTAATAGAAAACATTTCCACTCCATTGCTTCATATGCCAATTTTCCATAGAAAACATAGGAAAATTTGACTAGTAAAAATAAACCATACTCACGCTAAGGTCTGAAAAAAGAAAAGAGGAGAAAAAAGACAGACAAACCAGAATGCACAAAAAAAGATAACCTGAACATATGCGACTCACTAAATACTAATTCTAGGGCTTCATTTCTTCTCTACCTCCTCTGCTTCAAGGATTATTAACCAGATGGTCATCCTTTACTTGGTACTTACATGTAAATAAAGAAAGACCGCCCAGACAAATGTGGATAATAGGGGCTTCATATGTGTTGTCTAGCAACCAATAACAATTAATCCTTGTTTAGGAGGGGACCACTCAAATTCAGGAGGTAACAAGGCATTATTTACTTTCAACTGCTGGCATTCAAATTCAGCAATTATTGCTTGTTTACGAGGATAAGCAAATAACACAACATCGTTGATTTCAAAATTCCTATTGTAAATGAAAAAAGTTTGATTAATGAGAAGATGCCTGGACTAACAGAGGAAGCTCAAAAGAAAATATGCTGATAATTAACAGTTCATACATCCAACTTGTTGTATCTTGATTTCAACAGAGTTTTCATCATGTCTAACATAACAACACAAAACAGCCAATTACCATCACACATAAATATAATTTAGGAAGCAATTCACTAAGGAAAATGTTAACGAGTGTCCCTTGGGCACGTCTTAACCGTTATCGAATGTGCTTTGGAAATTTAAAAGTTACCATTTGAAGTAAGCGAACTTATTATAATGTGTATTCTTCCATTTTCCAATTGTATTGGAAAGTGTTATTTCCACTTTAATTGACTTAACTAGTGCCCTAGGGGCACTGGTTAACAAGACCCATTCACTTATAAGCATCCTGCTTCAAAATTCCATCATTTGCAGAAATAATTGCTGGATTTGTCAACAAATTCTTCTGGCATCAATTCATAGTAACCACCAATAAGCACACACATGAATAACCAGGAAGTAAGAATGACCTGTAAAGAAGCATTAGGGCCTTGGGTCCACCAACTTGCGCAAGCATCAAACATTTGGTTCAAAGATTTATCATCCTGATCCTACAACAAGAAAATGAAGTCACTTTTTGCAATCCTTCATAGAAGTGTCAATGATTAAGTAGCAGTACATTTTCTATCAAGCGACTTGTGTGTGTGTGTGTGTGTGTGTGTGTGGGGGTTGGGGGGTTGTTGTTGTATTCCAATTGTAGGAGTGTGTAATACTATAAAATGATCGAGACAAACCTTGAAAACTGTAAAGTTTTCACCATGCCGTGAATCAATCACGGTAACGCCATCTTCTGATACAAGTGTATGCTGAGTGAAAGGCCACCAGAATATATCTCTTGCCTTCTTAGGCATATCAAGCAATGTCTGCATTCGTTCCAGATAAGATGACTTCATTATGTTCTTCAACACATCAAATATGCCTCGAGAATCGATAAACCATTCCATCAGGTCATTTGAGGGATCTTCTGGAACATGTGGCAGCACAAGCACTGGCACCCTATGGCATTTATAAAGAAAATTAAGCTGAAAAATCATTTTATGCAGTGGGACAATTGCACAACTTAAAGCATGACTCACACTCCCATTTTAAAGATTTTCAGGATGCAGCATATATTTTAATGAATAAAACTAGAATCCTCTGGCATAGATAAAAGAAACAACTGTAAGTACCTATTACGAAAATAGGCCATCAGTGGCTCCTCATTTAGAAGCCCGTGATCTTCAAATACAACAGCAACCACATCGTATCCTCGAATTCTTAAGCTTTCATAAGCTGAAATTGTTGCTGAAATTCCACCTAGTCGTCCATCTCCAACAAGAACAGCAGGTAACCTGAAAGGCCTATACAAAAATTGCGCAAAAGAAGTAAACGACTGTTTCAGGAAGATAAGTGAGAGAGAGAAATGCCAACTCAGTATCAAGGGCATGGTGCCATGGAAAAACGCAGTATATAGCAGTACCTTAACACAATTCTACTAAAGAGATGGGTCGTTACTGTAAGAGGATCGGTGACAGATACATAATCGATTAGGAGAGATAATAAATTATTTAGAAGAGTCTTGACTTGGGGAAAGAAGATAAAAAAAAAATTATTTGGAACATTCACAATAATTTAGTATATAGTAACACGTGAGTTGGTTTGAGCATAGACGCCCTGGGGGATGATCACTCCCTCCAGCCCCCTTGGGTCCATCCTCAACAAGGATTGACCATAAGTACAAAAAAAGCGGTGGACTTTCCACAATGTCGTTGCTTAAGAACCATTGGCATCAGAAACCGACGATCATGTAATTACGAAGAGAGCATCATCAACCAAATATGGGGCATGTTTTAAGCCAGAGGACCTGATTACCACATCAAGAAAAATCAATTACTGGGTTCCCAGTCTCAGCAAATGAGATGTGCAACATTTCCAAGGACACACCACTGCAAAAGGGCAGCAATCGCATCCTCGAACCATGTAATATCTCATATTCTACTGGATACGGAAGCCAAAGAAGTACAACGAGAAGAATAGTTTGCGAAAGAGTTGACCTTTTGTCTTCTTTTCAGACGCGACAGCAATAAACAAAAACAAATGAGAAGACACAAAGGGAAAAGATCGAGTCAATTTTAAATGGCGCACGAAACCCGCGAATGAACAATTCAATATGCTCCCCTATGAAAACAAACACCGACCAGGACGTGCTTTCTCAGATAAAAAGAACAGAGGGGAAAGCGAACGTACCTGTACAAGTCGCACTGAAGAGTGCCAGAAGGTCCTGGGCTCGCAACTCCGCCAGAAGTCTCGATCACGCAAAACACCTCCCCCTCGCCATCTCTCCGGCCGACCCTCAACCCTTTCTCTACCATCTCCACCACCACACTGTCCTCCACCACACCACCCTCTCGCTCCGCCGCCAAATGAGGCGAGACCGCCTCCTTCCAAGCGAAGACCGTCTCGCTCACCAGCTCCGAGACCGCCTCATCCCCGTCCCCATTCCCGCTCCTCTCGCCTTCCAACCTCCTCTCCTCGCAGACCCCCAAATCAACCATCCCGAAATCCGAATCGCCCCCGTCCCGAGGCCGCGCCTCGGAGAGGGAGAGCGCGGCGGCGGAGGCGGCGGGGGCGGAGGCCCTGAGCACGCGGTGCGAGGCGAGGACGGGGAAGCGGGGCTTGCGGAGGAGCGAGAGGGAGGCGAGCTTGTCGAAGAGGAAGAGGGAGTCGGAATCGGAGGGGAAGCCGGTCTGGACGGGCTTCAGGTAGTGGAACCTGGAAGGCGCCGGGGCGGGGGAGAAGAGGGAGGCGAAGGCGAGGCCGGTGGCGACCAGAGTCTTGCCGACGGAGGTGTTGGAGGACCAGATGAGGAAGGCCGGGTGGGAGAGTGGGACCCGGAGGGGAGAGACGGCGGACGCGGCGGCGGAGGAGGAGGTCCGGTGGTGGCGGAGGAAGAGGAGGAGGGGGAGCTGGTGGCGGTGGCGGTGGCGGGACAGGTGCGCAGGGCTCATGGTGGCCGCCGGCGGGAGGGAAGGAGGGAGGGGGAGTGGAGTTAGGTAAGAGAGTAGGTGGCGAGGATAGAAATGGTGGTGGGAAATTTGAAAGGGGGAACACAGGGGTCGGGATGGGCCGCGCCAAGTTCTATTTGGGCTTTGGCTCAATTGCCGACCTCAACCGCCAAATCCGGCCCAATGAAAAGTCAAAAACACTTAATTAGACCGAGGCTCCGTTTATTTCGCAGGAAAAATGAATGGTTTGAAAAATATTTTCTCCAAAAATGATCGTTTATATCGCTTGAAATAATTAGTCCTGCAGATGATCAACAGTGTATTATCATTACTAGCAACAAATCATGTCTTAATATTTAGTATGGCCGATGAAAATATTTTTGGTTCTTATAGCTTTTGTAAGTGATACAAAGCGATGCAAACGTACCATTGGAAATGAAAAATATTTGACTTTTGCGGAAGTCATTTTCCATAGACTTAGGCTATTTTGTGAGGAGGGAAGGAAAATATTTTCCCACGAAAACGTTTTCGCGCCCGAACACCGAAACCCGGAAAATATTTTTCGGGAGAATATTTTCCGCCAAACGAATGGAGCCTTAATTAAACCGAGGCTCCGTTTATTTCGCAGGAAAAATGAATGGTTTGAAAAATATTTTCTCCAAAAATGATCGTTTATATCGCTTGAAATAATTAGTCGATCAACAGTGTATTATCATTACTAGCAACAAATCATGTCTTAATATTTCCGTGGCCGACGAAAATATTTTTGGTTCTTATAGCTTTTGTAAGTGATACAGGCGATGCAAACGTACCATTGGAAATGAAAAATATTTGACTTTTGCTCGTGTAGAGTTAATATATTTTTTGCATAATAATTCCCGCTAGTGATTAGTGCATTACAAATTATGGACATCCCCACGTGCGATGTTGATTGAAGGTTTTGTTGGATTGATGGAGAAGATTAATTTGGTTTACTGTGCAAAAAAAGAATGCTATATGGTCAGTCTAACCATCGTAATGTGTCCTCCATACCTGAACTCCGAACAATAATCTCGTGCAAGAGTTATACATACATATTCGGTAGAAACTAGAAATAGTACCTGTTGGGTTAGCTCTTGCCCATTACAGACCATGAATTAGAAACGTTGTCCGTAAAATATAGTACATCGCCAATTTCCATACGTTTCTTTACCAATTTCGAAGTGCCAAACCTTATCTTTGCTCAAAAGAAAGAAAAGGTTGGGACGGGGTTTGACTTACCTCGCTCACCCGCTGGAATGTTTAGTTTAAGGTGCTAACGAAGCATGAACCATCCGCCGGGCGAATCTGTTACCGCAGTCCTACCAAGCGCGAGTGGGAGAAGCCCAAAACAGGCAATACACCTAAACCCAGACGTGTCTTTTGCGGACTAATAAGGTTAATGGAGTAACTTTACTTGAAAAAGTAGAAATGTTTAATGAAGCACTGGGTCTTGCTTCTACAACATGATCATGTAAGCAGAGGAAGCTCCAGAAGTTCCACAATGATCTTCGATCAAAGGGAACTCTATTTTCTCTAAAACTGATTCATCAACTTCATCTTCAAAGCAGAAAAGTTGCCATTGTCTCTCCTCCATTCCCATGTGTTGACACCTAAATTTTGCTCAATCATTTAGGGTTTTATCGCATAAAAAAAATTATTATTAGGGTTTAATTTTTAACCATTAAACAAAAAATATTTTCATTAAATTACATGACATGACATGTAGACATTAGGAACATTTGCATTAATAGGGCCTATTAGGACACAAAATTTTTTAAAAAAAAAAAGATTTCTGGGCCGGGTTCGTCGGCCCATTCCTTTTTTCCCCTTTTTTCTTTTATTGCGCGCGGTCCATGTTTCCCTTTTTCTATTTTCGCGCGGGACGGCCCATTTCCCACGGCCCGGCCCACGCACTGTTCAACCTTCCCCCTCCCCAGTCAACCTTCTGAAGGGTACGGGGGAGGAACAGTGCAGAAGAACAGAGAAGCCAGAGGGGCGCGGGGCACGCCGGCGTGATCCTCGGGTCGTGAGCAGGCCGGCCACGGCAGGCTGGCGGTGGCAGGGGCCATGCGCGCCTGCTGGCCGGCTCCGCGCCACTGGCCGTCCTTAAATCCGAGGCCAAGAGGGAAAGAAAAGGGTTTCGGAGAGAGGGAGCGAGAGAACGGGGAGTTCCGAAGAGAGAAATCCAAGAGAGCAAGAGAGCCGGGGAGAGAGAAATCCGAGAGAGAGAGAGAGATCGGCCGCATCCTCCGGCACTCGCTGTGTTGGTGTCGCGGCCGAGAATCCACACACGCTCTTCCCTCCCCAACACCGATTTTTGGTAAGTTTAGGCCCGGGTTTTCGCCGGTTTGCGTTTTGTTTGATTTGGGGTCGGTTTCCCGAGGATCCCGACTTGCAGGCGTGCGAGGCAAGCGGACGTCGTCCGATCTATCTCGGTCGCCCTCCATTCGCCGCCGCCGAGTCGGGTAGGGAGCGTCGCAAGGAACCGCCGCCCCTGTTCTTTCTGTGTACTCTGTTTTTAGGGCTCACTGGCCGGAGCTCGCGGCCGTCCGGCTCGCGCGAGTTCCGGCCCGTGACACCTCGAGCTCAATCCTGCTTGTCTGTGCTTTGTTGTGTGTGAATCTCGGACGCGTTTGGAACCTTGATCGAACCTAAAATATCCCGTTTTCGTCGCTCGCACCAACTGTTCGACGTTTTGCCCAAACCAAATTCCTTTGGTTTTGTCTCTGTTCTGCTGTGTTTTTGGGAGTGTCAGACGGTCCCGGCGTACAGCCGGTGGCCATGGCGGTCCGGGCGTGACCGCGGGAGGAGGCGGCCAGCCAATCCCTCGTCGGGACCTGACTGATTCGCGGCTGTCCAGCCCTTCGTCGGGGCTTGGACGGCCTCGGTCAGTCGCTGGTCACCACGGCGGTGACCCGGGTGGAGGACGCTCGTTGCTCCTCGTCGGGGTGGCGATGCGGACCAAGGTGGAGCGTTGGCCGGAGCTCGGAGGGGCTGGCATTCGGGACGGTCAGCAAAGGCGGAGAGGTGGCTGGCGTTCGGGCGAGTCGGGTCAGACGCGCGGGCGAACAGGGTAGGGTTTCCGGCGATTCGGGTCCGCGGCCGCAAACCGGGTCGGGCAGACGTGTCAAAACCGAGTAGGGTTTTGTTAGTGTTTGTGCCGATTTTATGTTTATTTGGTGTTATTTGTTCTGGGCTTTTATAGTTTAAGGGTTAGAACGTGGCTTTTAGATTTTGGGCCATTTCGTGGGTGGGCCGGATTGATCAATTTGGGCTATTTTTTTTTATTTTTAGTGGGCTTTGGGCTTTGTTTGTTTTTTTTTTTAAATGAAAAAAATTCGAGCTGGGCCCTTCTCTTTTCTAATTTGCCAGACCGGGCTTAATGAATGAGTCCGGTCCGGTCGTGGACCCGTGCCGGCGCGCCCGGGTCAGTCTCGATTCGGGTCGGATGTGGAGATCCGACCCGGATCCGTTTTACATTATTTTTAAATATTATATTATTATTTTAATATTAAAAAATATTTTAAAAAAAAAATAAAAAAATTTCGAAAAATCAAAAATTTTATTTGGACTTTGGAATTGGTTTTTCTTGCCCTATTGTGTGAATAGAGCAATGTTTGATTGCACGTTATTTGGTTCCTGTATTTTTAAATTGCGTGTTTAATTTAATCTCGAACGTGATTGACCATGCATGTTGGGACGGTTGCTTCCCTTAGCTTGATTAGGGATGGAATTTTGAGACTCCAGTTAGTGTGAACACATTAGGTGGTGAATTGAGCAAAATTAGGTACCGAAATGGCACTAGTTGGTCAATTAGTGTAATCAAGTCCCCGTACCCATTGAATCTCTGGTTCGTAGAAGTAAAGCATTTCTCATGTACTTTACTTGGGTGTCTAATCGACCCACCAAAAATCGATTAGTGGCGACTCCTAGATGAAATTGATTTGAATGTTAACAACTTAAACTTAAGTCGTGAATTGATATGGGCTTGAGAGAGCTCGAGCTAAGTTTAACTTAGTAATCCATTAGACTAACCCCTTAGGCGGCGGGGCCGGTTCGGAGAGGTCGCGACACCATGGCAAATAGTGCTCATAAAAGCAGCCTTTCATCCAATTCTTTTTTCTACTCAATTATATCCTTCTAATATGCAAAGTAATCAACTCATTCCACGAAGAAGTGAATTTTAAATGTATATTTACTGTATATATATTCCAACGACCAGGAAGAGAGAGAGAGAGAGAGAGAGGTAAAAAGAAGAGGGAGAAAACTATTAACGTGTCATGCTGAGTACAGACTGAACCCCCGATAAAAAGAGCTCTGAAGTTCAAAATCCGCACCAAAACATCTATGCCAAAGCATCAGCCATGATTGAACGCTGAGCCAGCTGCTGCTCATAAAGCTCACGGAATATACGGTACTTGGCATCATGGTACTTCTTTATCCTCGGGTCATTAGATGGATGTATGACCTGAACCGGATTAAATAGACAGATTCAGACCCAGCAATTAGAAGATAACGGCATTTCCTCAGAATGCAAGAACATGTCAGGTACTAATTAAAGAGATTTCACTGTAAAATTCTTTATGCAATTAGTTTCCTTTTTTAATTTCCCGAAAAGAATGTCTCATTCTTCAAATCACTAAGTTTGATGGAATGTCCACGTTCGAAAGCTTGCAGTTGAAGCAACCAAAATGCTACCCATTCATGCTCAAGTTTTCTCTCTTTTTTTTCGAAACTTTGAACATGGGAAACATCATTTCTCCCTCATTGGGCAGTTCATGCATAGACAGACATGAAAGGGCAGAGCTTTCCCACCAATACCAAACGGGAAATCATTCTACCATGCTGTTAAACTTTTCTTGGTTCCTTTATCAATCTCAAGGTAGCATCACAATTCATGAAAATACAGGTAAATTGAAAATAGCATGTCGTGCTCACCAGACCAGCAGAATTCAGCGCTTTCATGGCCTCTCCAAGACTAGAATATTTCTTTGCTGCGACTGCCCCAAGGATTGCAGCACCCAATAGAACAGACTCACTTTCTCTTGGAAGAATAATTGGGCAACCTGCATCAGTCAAGTACAGAGAATAGCTTAGTCAAATAATATGGGCGTGGCAGGAAACTTTGAGCATGCACTTTCATTTTTACTTTTTATAGTACTAAACAGAAAGTTTCATGGTGCAAATGGGTGGGACATTGATCTCAGAAAACCGACCTCAATCTTCATTTCAATCTACTCCCAACAACAGTGCAAACATAGAGGGAGTAATAAACAACATTCTCTCATTGTCTCTGTCGGTAAAACGAATCTCACTTTCGTAATCCTCTAGTTATTCTAAATCTGTTGCTAGGCCAAGCAGGAACAAAAGAACAAGAAGTCAGAAATTACACTGTTTACATAAGCCTCCCACAGCAGTCATTCATATTAATTAGGGTAGAGTGTAGGACAGTTGAATCACGTTCCAACATGACAAGTTAATGTCAAGCAGATCAGACAATTGAAGATCAGACAGATGCTAAAGAGAGGAACTCGACAGCACAAATAGAAGGGTGGGAAGACCTATCCTCCAAACAGATGACAATTACACTGTGTTTGGGAAAAGAGTGAGGACAAATAGAAAGTGAAATCAGTGAAAAGGGAAGGAATGAGAATTGTAGTCATAATTTTTTAATTCAGTTTGGATGGAAGTTAAATGGGTGGAATGAAAATGACAAGAAAGTTGTCAAACAAAAATCATCAAAAGGTACCAATACCAACATTTCGAATTGAAAAAAAGCAAGAGGTGGGATATTGAATTGCCTTTTCCTCTCCACTTGCAAAGAGAATGGAAGGTATTAATTTTTATCTATCCAAGCCATCACTTTCACTTTCACTAGGTTTCTCAAACAAGATAAGGTTATTTCCTTGCCCTTCATTCTTTTCCCTTCATATTCCTCCTTTCCGGACATAGGCTAAAAAACGAGAGTACCTATGACGTCTGCATGTTGTTGAAGGAACAATGGATTCTTGGCCAGGCCCCCACATGCTAGTAGTGTATCAATCTGCAAAAGGAGTAGCAATATGCTGAACATGTTCTTTTAAACTTGTAGTTATCCTACTCCAAAGAAGTATAAAGAATCATAGATGCTCACTTTATGGCCATGGGCATTGCAATGCTCCACTATGTGGCGAGTACCATATGCAAGACTTTGGACAGTAGCTAAGTATAGAAGAGCCAATTGCTTCTCACTTGAATCAAGGGTTAATCCACAAATCACTCCTTTTGCTAGTGGATCCGCAAGGGGTGACCTGAACCATCAAAATATTAAGAGTATGAATTTCCAAATTCCAATAGCACTGACAAACTATATCCAGAGTATCAAACTGCACTGAACAACCTCAGTACCTATTTCCATGAAATTCCGGAAGGACATGAATATTCTCAGTCAAAGCAGCGAGAAAAGGAGCGTTGAGGTCATGCTTAAGAGATTCTAACATCTTGTTCAGTAGCTCAAATACTGATACACCTGGAAATATAACCAACAAAAAGTAAGAGATGGGACAACCCAAAACTGCATAATTACAGCAGACTATAGGACACATTTCCAATACCAAAATTGTTGGCTTAGTTGGACAATTGATATCTTACTTTGTGAAGCAGCACGATTTGCAAGCAGTGGAGAAGCTACATGATTTTCAATCACGTGATCTAACAATGCCCCAGTAGCACTTTGCCCACCCTCTGTAAGCCAATACTCTGGCACCATTGCTGGAAAAATCAAGACGTAAAAGGATCCTTCATGTAAGAATCTCCTGTTCTTAAAGCTTGGAGTAAAAGAAACAGTCTAAGAAATGGCCTTTTTACGTCTAACTACTAGTGGATTAAATAAAGACTGCTAGACTAAGAGGTGAATGAGATCAAATCTCTCATCCTAAAAGAAAAGGTCAAATCTCCCGGCATGCAGCTAAGAAAAGTCTAAAGCAAAGGACAGCAGTTTTAGGCACATATATTATAAACTTTCAAAGAGAAACAACGGTAAGACAAAGAAGGTTAAAAAGAAGAAATCAGTTGACAAGGTTAAGAAGATTGGGACAGAATAAATTGACTACTAGAGCTGGATGCTTAAACTTTTGCACCCTAGACATATCAAAGGTCCACAAACTGCGGGGTCAACAAGCCTCAATAACTACGACTGTCAAAAGATTCGTTACACTCCAAGTGTGTCAGAGAAAGCTCACAGTTGGGAAATGACCAGAAAAGCGTAAAAGTATACCTGACCAAAATGGTCCCCAGACTCCTGGAATGAACAGCTTGCTCCGTGCTACAGCCATATGACAAGTGGAAGTACCACAAACAAGCACCATCCGATGGCATATGGCCTCCTTATCATTTTCTGAATTTTTTGTTTCGAAGACAAGATCATCAACTTTAGCTAAAAGCTACAGGAAAAGCAAAGCAAACTACACTAACATCACATATTAACCTTTATCTTCAGTGTCCGACTCTGGAACACTTTCTATAACCCCAACACCACCAGCATGAGCATCAATTAGCGAAGTTCCTACAGGAGTTCCTGCTATGAGGCCTAGTTCCTAGACATAAAGGACAGTGGTCAGAAAAAATAAGAAAAGAACAAGAAAACTATTGACGATAAATATGCCCTCAAAATTTCACTGAAAAGTAGAGTGCCCTCATCTTATTGTTAGATAAATATGCTTGCTTTGTTAATGGAATTCAAGTGAGAACCACTTGAAATCAATACATTTTCTTCAGTACAAAATTTCTTACCTTTGCAGCAACTGGAGTTAGACCAGTTCCCAGAGGATGTCCAGGGAAAGCTACACTTCTTCCTGTGGACATGAAACAGTCTTGCATTACTAATTACAATGAAAAAACTCAATGCTAATATAAGTGAACTCCTATGGCAGTGTGCAAAAGTATCTGTGATACATATAACTCCCCGAAGGGTGATCAAGCAAAACAATACCATTAAGTAACCAAGTAGAACATAGAATAATACAAGCGGAGAAACCTAATAGTGTCTTCCACCCAGTGCCGACAGCTGATGCACACAAATGGAAAGAGATTGGAGAGCTTATAGATTTTTGCTTCTATTCACTGGAATTTGAGCGCTACCATTATACAGCACAGAATAAATTTTGGCTTATAACTGTAATTTGAGTGACACCTTTCACAACAAAAAAGATGCCACACAAGTGGCATGGATTGTTCCTTATCCAATTATATCTATAATCAATCTATTATCACCTTTCTCTCATCACTTTCTAATAGTTGTATCAAACCATGAGCTTAAGTGAAGCAGAAAACAGCTCCTTGAGCAACATCTTGTTCGATTTCATAATAACAAGCAAAAGAAATATCTCTTGGACCTGCCCTCGGAATTTGTTTCAAATTTGGAGAGAAGGAGAACGGGGGAGATGATATATGATAAAGGATAAGAACATTATAGTAAAAAAACGAAGACAAACTAAAAATAGCTTAAGTCCATTAATAAATGTAATAGACTCAACTGAGATTCTGAGCAAAATGACAAAACTCTAAGTGTGATATAAGGAGAATCCCTTTGATCTTTCAACCATCAACATGGAACCAATGCATTTCTTAGAAGACCAGAAATATTTCGAAAATCTACTCCAGTTCATCCACGAAACTGTAAACAGAAACAAAAATTATCTAACCAATCTTGGCATGATGACCATCCACAAGATCGGCCAGGCCAATCTCCTCCCAAAAGTCATCATCCCAGCCACAGGCTTCCATATCCCGAGAATCTTTTTCACTCTGCTGCATGTGTGCATGACCAAGATAAGTCCATTTGCATACTGTAGTGCACAAACTCCGAGTATCGTCTCCAGTTGCTCTGGCATGTAAAGAATGCATAAAAATTTGTTGAATATGGTAATACTAGGAGATTAGCTGATCCAAGTACCTGTATGACAACCAGTCACTCAAGTCCATCCACCTAAACACCAGTGACCAGGACTCTTGCAAATTTTCTTTCACCCACAGGAGCTAGGGACAAAAGTTTGCAACGTTAAAGGAGGATTCATTTAAAGTACAATTTAACCAAGATGAAAATCCAAAGGGCGATGCAACTAACTGGGACATCGTATTGTAGGAAACCAAGAGAAATCTGGGTTCAAAAGAGCTCCTTACTTGAAATATATGGGAAAACAGCAGGAAAGTGTTCTATATTTATGCAAACAAGTGAATGTTTTGATTCTTTTTTTCTTCGTATGCAGCAAGATCTGCAGGAATGCATTAGCTATCTTAAAAACCCAAGAGGGAATAGAAGAGAAAGTTTCAACAGCAGTGGAGAGCATGCCATCAAAAACCAAAACTCTCCTCGAATGATCTTTTCAATTGCAAGTGCAACTTCCACTTTTTTCCCCTTTTTTGATCAGGAATGCTCGACTAGGATATTTAAAAACTTCCAACAGCCACAACTCATCATGGTGCAATATAAGAAGCATATAGAAGCCACCAAAAATGCAAGAACTTCCAAGTAGTCCCTGACGGAAAGAATAAAAACTCAAACATGAAATTTTTGGCAAAGCAAAGTTTCTTTTTGTTTTTCTCTTGTAGGGAAAAAAAGCTAATTGCCAGTGACGTTTTTCAACCTCTGAGAGCAGTCTTAAATAACTATTTCTGATATGGAGCAGGGGCACAAGCATCGTGGCTGCCCATACTGCAGAGTATCGACAGTAAATTCGAACAGTGAGTAACAAAATTTGAGAGTAGTCTTTAAAAGTCATAACATCATAGTCTTGCTAGGAAAAGTACCTTAGGTGGTTGCATTTCTGGGGAAACAGCTCCACCGCAATATTGAAGTACTGGGGAGTTACTAGAATTGATCTTTTCAGCTTGCTTTATAGCTCGGTGATCCATCCAGACTATAATATTTCTTCTTGAATCGCCACTCCAGGAAACTGTTACTGGTGAACCATCAGCATCCACTGCAACTGCAAATAATTGTCCTATCCCATCAGAAAAATTCTATATTCCGTGCACCGATAATAGCAGATTTTAAATTACTGGATGCTTGAAAGCAGTTAATTAGTAGAGACAAACCAAGAGAACAAGTGGCAGCGAACCCAATTCCGCTGACATCTTCACCAGATATATTTGCAAGGGAGCATGCCGCTTTTACAGCAGCACAAATTGCATGCCAGATATCCGTTGATGATTGCTGGTAACAAGTAGAAGTTTCAACAGTCACTAATTTCAGTTGCAGAGCCAATTTTCATAGCCATGACTCGCCAATAAGCAGGCCATTGATAAGGCAAACTTCAGACACTAAATTACCTCCACACAGCCACCCTCTTTCCATATTTGTATTGGACTGCTAGCAGACCCTAGTAGCTTTCCTTCCTCATCAAAAAGACCTGTACAACACATTAACAATTAAACGATTCTTTCCAATTTCCCGAAAAGTATACTTTCTTCGGCACATGGAAGATTTTAAATCTTCTGTATGTTTTAGCAAAACATAGATACACTTGCACATTCAAAGCTCTAAGGAAAGTTTCTCAATTTGAAACCGCCACACCATGCAGGAAGGTCGTCTCGAGCTTAATCATCGAGACGTGTTCTTCTAACGATGACATTGTAAGAACTAAGACACGAATATGAATGTTTGAAGCATGTGCTGGATTAGGATAGAACACTCAAAAACTCCAGCGATTGAAGACTTGGCTTGTCAGATACAAGCAATTTTGGCTTCGTAGGGAAGCAATCGAAACGGCTCGATACAGATCATCGATATAATGCCTGATTAAGAGATTAAGCATAACTCGATCGATAAGATGGCCCTGGAAGTTCTATACAGATTGAACAAGAATCTGCAGCCGAACACCTGCCTACTCCGACCTGGAAGTCAACTCCCACGCTAGGAAAATCGATGCAACAGCAAGCATTCGAAAACGAGACCGAGAAACAGATGACAATCATCATCAAATGCAAGAGGCCAAAAATCCTCCGGGATTGATAATCAGGTCATGTTGCTCCTGCTCATCATCATGCGCTCTGCTAATGTAAAGATGAGCTCGGGAACGAACCGGCGCGGGCGCTGCCGGTGCCGACGTCGACGCCGAGGAAGACGGAGCGGCGAGTCGCGGCGGCGGCGGCGGCGGCGGTCGTCGCCATATCGACGGAGACGAAGCGGTCCGAAATTTCGAATCGGAGGGGTGGCGCAGGTATCAGACCGGGTGCTTCTTTTGCCAGTCGTTGGCTTCTTTTTTTTTTTTTGGGTTTTTTTTTCCCTCCTCTTGCAGAATTTATTGGTTGTTAATTTTTTTGGGGTCTTGATAAATCTGAATGGATAAGTGCCGATTAGGATCGACCAATCTTGTTTCAGTTTTTCTCCATATTTTATTTGCAAGACAGTGACACAAACGGTTCCTGAACTTTGATACGTGTTTAATTTAGTCCATAAAGCTATATAAAAATGCGCAATGTGATTCTTGAACTTTTAGTTAGTTCAATACCGTCCCTAAATTTTTAATACACGTTCAATTTAATCAATGAATTATATGAAAATATGCAATGTAGTCATTGAAAGTCCTTCCATCAATTCAAGTTTAGAAACTACATTAAATATTTTCACATAGTTCATAAATTATATTGAACATATATCAAAAATCCAAAGTTCGAAAATCACATTGAACATTAGGCTAAAGTTCAGAAATTACATTTGATAAATTAGAAGTTCATAAACCATTTTTGGCTTAAAGATTATTTGTGTCATTTTCTCTTTATTTGTTGATTGTTGTTTCAGCAAACTTTACTTTGGATTTATTTTACTCAAGAAATATATTTAAGAATTAAAATGGACCATTTTACAATTTTGAAGGAAAAACTAGTTTAAAAAACAATAATCAAATTTTCTTTCCATATCTATTATTATAAATGGATTTTTTTTTGTCAGTTTACCCATCAAACTATATTCTTTTCCTTGATAATCATTTCGAATTAAAACACAAACGAAAATACATATATGAATCATCGAGACACACGAATTGCTTGTTCCTCTCTCTCGATGTCTCTTTTTCTACTACAACTCTCGTCATGGCCATATCTGTCTACATCAAACCTTAACCTCCATTGATGGTCCCAGAGCATCTGTTATTGAAATCTCAACAAAAGATTGAAGACGAAAAATTGTAAAATATGTTATGAGAATAACTTATATTATAAGTGAGTTTCCAGGGAGACGGATAGTGTAAGAAAATTTAATATGAATGTGCTCCATTGCTCAATATTCTAATTTTGCTGTTTATTCATTCATTTCTATTCAGACAATACTTTTTCTTATAACAAAACGCAAGAATTTTCATTCTATCATACCCCTACAATTTACGAGCAAAGATATTGGAATATTAATTCATTCCATTTCATTTCGTTGTACAAAACTTAATGAAGTCTATATATGGTTAACTATTTGTTTTTTTTTTTTCAATATATCTATTTATCCTCCTATCCATTCAATATTTGGGATAGGCGTCCATGTAGGCAATACTCAAATTTTCATCACGCTCCGATGTCCTCCAAATAGCAACACCGATTGAATTCAATCGAACTTATCCAAGGGATTGGATTAGGCATTTTGGGCAACTAAAAAGACAAAAGAAAATGATTTCGGTCGAATTACAAAGGTACAATCAAAATAATTTTAAAAACACATCAACTAAAGAAAGAGACAAAAACAGATTTCACCTTTTGATATTTGATTCGACGAGGTGGGTGGGGTGGGGGGGGGGGGGGGAAATCGCTTCGCAACGGCGACCACACGTTGAAACAGGCGCGCGCGACTAGGTTTAAGGAAAAAGGTTGAGCGAGCGGCTGGCCCCCACGTGACGCCCACGAGAAAGCCGAGCAAAAGGAGAGCGGCGGGGCGGCGGATCGGAGCCCCGCCCGCCGCCGCCGCCGGGGCTCCCCCCACACGGCCGTGAGCTAGCCGGGGCGGAGAGCAGCGCCGCCGCTCGCGGCGGCCGGGGTGGCGGGGAGCGCGTACGGGACGCGGGAGAGCCGCATATTCGTTGGAGGGAGAAGGGATAATGAGATCGAAGATGCTCCCCCCCTCTCTCTCCCTCTCCCCCTCCCTCTCTCTCTCTCTCTCTCTCTAGGAATGCGAAAACCAGGGAGCGCCACGTGTGACGTTACCGGGCGAGCTGGCATCGCTGCTTGTGGAGAGGTCCCCGCACGCACGAGACGCCGTCCCCCCCCCCCCCACCAAAAAAAAAAAGAGAAAATCATGGAACAAAGCCTTCACCTTTTTTTTTTTTTTTTGCTCGGCCTGTGCCCTGTGGCGCTCCTCCATCTCTCTATCTTCTTCTTCTTCTTCGTCATCGTCATCATCATCTTCATCTTCATCTTCATCGTCGCCTTCCCAGCTTCGTCGCTTTCTTCTGCTTTGAAGAAATTTCGATTCGATATCGAAAGAGAGAGGAAGAGAGAGAGAGAGAGAGTGTGTTTTGATTGGCTAATCAGAGCAGCAGATTCTGAGCGGGGGGGGCTTTTCGGTCGTTCGCCATTTGGCTTTCGGAGCTCGCGCAGGTACTTCGATTGAGTTTTTGCCGGAGATTTTCCTGCGATATCGCCTCGAGAGCTCGAGGTCGAGCTCGAGCTGATTTCGCGATTTCGATTGAGCTGCTGATCTGAGGCTAATTCTGAGTTTCGATTGATTGTTTCGCCGATTGCTCCGGATTGCTGCTGTTTATGGTGATTTTGATTCCCTGATTCTTTTGTTTTTGTTTTTTGGTGTTGGTGTTGTTAGTTCGTATGCTCCGTGGCGCGCTCGAGAATGCGACGTTCGATTGGATCAGGAGCCGCGGAGCTGGTGGCAGGCTTGATGGTGTGAGGCGTTTTACTCATGTGTAATAGAAGGGCTGCGTGCTTGAGCGAGTCGCTTGCGCAGTCTGAGCACGCCGCGGTCGGTCAGCGAGACGAACATCAGGCTGTTTGCTCGGCGATGGATAGCCCCTCGGCGGCTCCACCGTCGGACCACGGCTCGCACTCGAGCTCCAATGACGAGGCTCTGCGCTTCAAGTTCCTGTGCAGCTTCGGAGGCAGCATAATGCCCCGCCCGCAGGATGGGAAGTTGCGGTACGTCGGCGGGGAAACCAGGATTGTGTGCCTGCCTAGGGAGATTGCTTATGAGGAGTTGATGAATAAGATGAAAGAGCTCTATGAAGCTGCAGCGGTTCTGAAATATCAGCAGCCTGATGAGGATCTCGATGCGCTGGTCTCGGTTGTTAATGACGACGACGTGACTAATATGATGGAAGAGTATGATAAGTTGGGCTCTGGTGAAGGGGTGAGTAGACTCAGGATTTTTCTCTTCTCGAACACCGAGCAAGATGGCTTGACACATTATATAGACGGAGTTGAGAGGGATACTGAGCGAAGGTATGTTGATGCCTTGAACAATATGAACGACCCATCAGATTTTTGGAGGCAACCTGTTGATGATATTCACCTAACTGAACAGTTCTTTAACCCAATAAGTTTGGAGGGAAGCATCCACAGCCAGAGAAACAGTGACATGCCTGTGATACCATTTAACTTGCATCAACTAACAGTTCCACATGTGGGTTCAGGACAGTATCAGCAACCTGTTAATCAGAGGTACGGTGAAATGGATGCCCAGTGGAGTCCAGTTTACTATTCCCCGCGGCATCATGGGCCAAAAGCTGACTTTCCATCTTCTCCTTCTTCTGCACGATTTCCCATGTCCTTTGGAGAATTACCAGACAGAGGCATAGATAGAATCCCGGATGAGCATGTGCGGCCTCAAGCAATCCATCAGCCAACCTATGACCACCAAGGACATGTCCCTGACAATTTAATGTGGTTGCATGCTGCTGGAGGGGATAAGGCTGGTTTTCCGGGAAGCATATTGAATGGTGCTAATGCTTTCGACGGAGGCAGTACCTGCGAGCACTGTCGGATGTCCGTGCCCAGAAGTCACTCACATATGGAGCAACCTAACATGGGTAACTGTCTTCCACTTGTCAACAACTCATGCGTTGAGTGCACGCCGAATTTGGAAAATCACGTATTAAACACTAGCAGTAATTTACACCATGGAATTTACCAGAAAGAGCAGATCAATCCACATGTTCCATATAAGGATGGTTGGATCTTGCAGAATCAGTTAAGTCCGCGGGTAGAAGATGCAAGAGCACACATCTCTGGAGCTGGAAGGTTGAATGATCACTATCTTGCAGATGGTCCAAGCTCCAACTTTCATGTTGGCCCCGCTAACTTAACTGACGGGCGTCACTCACCGCTACAGTATGCTCATCAGTGTGCTGGACCTGAATTGAGCAATGAAATGTATCATGACCAGGCTGTGGCTCCTCACTCACACATTCCTCTTCCGGAAGAATACTATGTTAGATATGGAAATGTGGCTCCTGACAGCATGTACACAGTCTCGCATGGACACATACCTCCGCATGGAATGTGGAGAAATATTCAGAATCCTGTTTATGGTGCTCCTCCTTATGAAACCTCTGGTACACCTCAGCTAATAAATGGTGCTGTTAGCCCAGCGTTACTCCGTACACCAGAGGAAAGTCCAAGGCTTGTTAGGGCAATAGACACTCAAAATATTTCTTCCGGATCCTCACCAAATGCATTGGTTTTTGATGGGAATGCTGTCCCTGAATTTTTTTCTGGTCATGGTTCGAAATTGAACTTAAATACTCTTCAAGAGAACGGGGGTGCATGTGTTGAGGAAACCGGCCATTCATTGAGGGTCCCTTTTGTCAACATTCCGGAATCAAGAAATGAGAATCATGTAACCGACGTTGAGGGGAAAGATAGGAGCAATATTACAGCAGAAGATAGGGAGACCATTGATGAGCAGGGCCAGGCTGGTTCTTGTCCAGAGGGAGATGAAGTTTTAGGCTCAAAACCTGAGGTAACTAGTAGCCCAGTGGAAAATGGTGGGACAATTGTTGGATTGGTTAACAAAGATTCCTTTTCTCCTAAAGAAAAATCAGAGACGCCTGTTAACCACTTGAGCATCCTCCCTGAGTTGATTGATTCTGTGAAGAGAGCAGCATTAGAAGGAGAGGAGGCAAATGCTGGAGCCAAAGAGAATAAAGGTCCTGCAGACGAGAACACAGTTACAGAAGAAGGAAACGATAATGAATCTGAATTGGTGGTGAGTGGGTTCCGTGCTAACAGAGTCTTCTCTGGAGTGCTCTTTGTCCTTGTCTTTTCAATCTTCTGATTTTGCTGTTCTCTGTAGAACACCCAAGGAGAGTTGGAGTTGGAGTCTGATAACGACGGTAATTTGAAAATAGAGCCAACCAAGGCCGAGGAAGAAGCCATAGCCAGAGGATTGCAGGTCTTCCTTTGCTCCTCGTATACATTTCAAATGCCATTAGTCATCACTATTAACTCAGTTCACTGCTATTGCTAGTCGCCATATAGTCTTCTTGCTAGGAGCTAATGGATTCCATATTTTATCAGACAATCAGAAATGAAGATCTGGAGGAAAACCGAGTCCTAGGAACCGGAACATATGGAGCAGTGTACCATGGAAAATGGAAGGGTTCTGATGTAGCTATAAAAAGGATAAAAGCGAGCTGCTTTGCTGGAAGACCTTCAGAACGAGAACGCTTGGTAGTAACAATAATCATTCTTGCCTTTGTGAAAAAAGAGGATCGCACTATGTTGAGTATGGATTTTTAGTGCGAAATTCATCCATCAGAAAAAATTGGCATTTATACCATAACCTGTAGAGAATACAGATGCTAATGAAGCTGAAGGCCCCTGGCACATGACGAATTACTTAGCTGTGAATCGAAAAGCTATGGTTTTCCTAACTCAGAGTTGTTTTTGGCATATGCTCTTTTTTCATGCGCTAGGTTGTGGCTTTATTTTTTTTTTTTTTGAACTTGTTAAGGTAGCTCTCTTAAATAAAATAGGTCAGCAAAGGACATTTTCTGTGAGATGTTGGGTGGTTTATTCTCCAAAGGATAAAATTTAGAATAAGACTTCCTTTGCTTTTTGCTGTCGCCCTATCTTCTCTTTTTAGGGGTGCCAAAGCCTCATTTATCACGAAATCATTGGTCTTCAGTAGGTTAGTTCCACACTCATAACGAGAAATTTGTGTGAAAGAGAGGACAGGGAAAGAACTCGTAGGAAAAGTAGAAGCTCCACAACTAGAGTCTTCACTCTCTCTGAGGTTGAAACTTGTGCCATAGATTGGTAATTCGTGAATCTCTCTTGTAGATATCTGATTTTTGGAGGGAGGCCTTGATATTAAGTTCCTTGCATCATCCAAATGTTGTTTCCTTCTACGGTATAGTACGAGATGGTCCAGATGGATCTTTGGCGACTGTGACAGAGTTTATGGTCAATGGATCTCTGAAGCAGTTTTTGCAGAAGAAAGACAGGTAAGTTTTGTGGTGATGGTTGAGGCTTTCACTAGCAATCCTTTCGATTCTGATATTTCAGATCAAAATGTACTTTCCTCATTTTCCGCTCCTACAGCAAAGGTATGCTATCTGACCATTGTGTATATGATGTTACAGGACTATTGATCGTCGCAAAAGACTCATCATAGCTATGGATGCAGCATTTGGGATGGAGTATTTGCATGGAAAGAACATTGTACACTTTGATTTGAAATGTGAAAATCTTCTAGTAAACATGAGAGATCCTCAAAGGCCTGTCTGCAAGGTATGAAGACTTTTATAATGACTCCCTGGAAACTCCATGCTACTTGTACCAAGTTGTCACACCTATACGTCTGATTGTCGTCTTCTTTGGTATAAAATGGTCCAATTTGTTTGGCATTTTTCGGGATCATCACATCATTTTTTTTCTGAAAATCCAATGAGAATTTTAACTTTCATCGGCCTACTTCTTCCATGTGTGATTGTTCTCCAGATTGGTGATCTGGGATTGTCAAAGGTAAAGCAACACACATTGGTATCAGGAGGTGTTCGTGGCACGTTACCCTGGATGGCACCTGAGCTTCTCAGTGGGAAAAGTAATATGGTAACTGAGAAGGTAATTACTTTATGGAGATATTTTTGAAGCTGGAAGAATATTTGACCTTTTTTATCTTTCCATTATTAATTGTAAGACTTGTTATCTCCTGTCCTGTAGATTGATGTTTACTCCTTTGGGATTGTTATGTGGGAATTGCTTACTGGGGAAGAACCTTATTCAGATATGCACTGTGCCTCTATTATTGGTAAGTTATATGTATTTTCCTGGTGAATATGCTCCCAAGAAGATGGTTTTGGAGGTTATTCTTCACTTAGTTTCTGTAATGTTATCAACCATCTGCAATGTCTAAACAGGTTTCTTTCATGGAAATGGTTTTTCTTTATTTTTAGATTTAGGCAAATTCAAAATGTGATTATTGTCTGTTCGGGTACAAATTGGTTTATTTACTCGCGTGATTAGCTCTACAATAAGAGTCCAAGATGCTGGGTAGATAGAACTTACTTTTAATAGAGTGAGCAAGATATATTTCTTTGTGGTGGACCGGTGGTTTTTTGTTTGGGGAGGTGTGTTTTGTGAGTTGTTATATGCTATTGGCAGAAAACCAGCTCAGATGGGACAATTCTTGTTTTGCAGGCAAATTTTTCTCATTTTATGTATAATAAAGTGGCAATAGTAATATTAGAAACCAAAGCAGGGTTCATGTCTCTTCGAGACAGAGCTCTTCTTGAATTCGGGTCAGAGAATGTGTCAATATAAATGAGCTAATTAATATCTTTTAGACATTCATTTCTAAATGAGAAGGATTTCTGGGATGGTATTTGTCTTATTTGGATTCTGTGGCAGTGTTTGAGTTGAATGGCATATTAAGCTGCCCCTTTTGCACCATACGATGTTATCAAAATAGCTTGATCATGGTCTAATAAATATCATGAATGCTAGAGCATTTAATTGCGGTAGTCTTATTACTACTTAAGATTCTGGTTCGCATGAAATTAAATGGAACATCTACTTTTCATATCTGTTTTTACTACTTCTCCAATCATGTCCTATACTCTCAATTTTTCTAGTCAAGTCCTTATACTTAGACAAAATGTCTAATTAAATTCTTCCAACACCAAATCTGGCTAAATCTAGCTGATGTAGCTGACAGAGAACGCCGGAGTGTGATGTGGATTAGATATTGCCTACGTTACATACCACGTGGACAGTGAATTGGTGGGAGCATTAAAAAACGAATTAAAAAATAGTTATCTGTTCACTGCACACGGCTTATGGTGGGTATCCAGGTGGGTAATATTAAATCCTTGTCACACTCCGGCGTCCTCCGACGGCCATGCCAGCTGGATTTGGCCGGATATTATGTCGAAGGGACTTGACTAGACATTTTGTATAAGTACAAGGGTTTGGTTAGAAAAATTGAAATTACAAGGACTTTATTGGAAAAGTAGTGAAAGTACAGAGACGAAAAGTATAATTTTTCTAAATAAAATTGCACGACTGTGCATCTCAATAAAGATCAAGATGGAGGTTTCTCTCTAGATGTATGGTGGACGTTGAAATACATAAGACACCTAGTCTGTTGGCATGTCCTTATGGAAAATGTGGCATTTGAATATTTTTAGAAGAATTTCCAATGTGCTGCAAGCCTTAAAGATGAAGAGACATATAACACTGATATTGTGCGAATAAGGTGAAGCCCATAACTGTTGACCAGCCCTTGCCAAATTTGTTACTAATTGCTGGATTCAAGCAGAATCTGGACTCTGGGAAGTGACTCATTTGCAGTTCTTAGCCTTGTCCATGGTCATATCTGTCATAATATAGTAGATGCACGATGTCAACAGCTTGGTGTTAGAGTGTACATGACCGAGTTCCTGTTTTTTTGGACAGGAGGAAGCATCTGATTCATTAAATGATGACACGTTGTGTTCATTTATAGCAGATCTTCCATTTTGTTGAGTTGTCCCTGTTCTATTGAAACTTATGCCATTCCTTCATGTTCTCAGCCGTTATGCCTCCCGTGTTTTGCAGGAGGTATAGTAAATAACTCTTTACGTCCACAAATTCCAGCATGGTGTGATCCTGAATGGAAATCCTTGATGGAGAGTTGTTGGGCCTCGGATCCATCAGAAAGGCCATCTTTTTCAGATATCTCTCAGAAGCTGAGGAGTATGGCTGCCGCAATCAACGTGAAATAATTAGTAATTACATTTACTTGCCAGTTCTCTTCTTGCCTTCACATCCTGTCTGCAAATTTGGAGCTGAAAAGCCACAGGAGTATAGTTATCTCAGCTAAGGTCTTCTTCTGCTTTTAAAGTACCCCCACGATGGTAATGAATTTCTTCTTATATTATCAGTTTCAATGAAGTTATAATGGTTATGCCGATTAAAGTTGGTATTTCCATATAAAATGCAACTACACGTGCTTTCGTCTGGGTTCTGCTCAGAAAGACTTTGCAGTGGACCAAGCACACCAGCAATAGCAGCTGAATATGAAAAGTGAGTCTCTCTCTCTCTGTTCGAATCATTTACTCAACTACATTGGAATATGTCAGCACATCTGATAAAATCTCCTCATTTTCTTCGCAGGATATATTGCGAGTCGGGTGTCTTGTGTGGATGATTGGAAACACGAAATGAGGTTATTCTATATAGAATATGGAGCAGAACCGAGTCCTGAATAAAAAACGTGTAGATACTCGACGGTGAGTATGGCATTTAGATCTTTGTTATGGAATACAACTTTATGCAAGTCTTAACTTGTTTAATTCTTTTTATTAAATCCCACACCCCCTGGCCAGTGGTACATGTTACTATTTTCTACATGAAACTGGTTCTGGTAATGTACAAAAGCATATGATTATTTGTCTGGGTTGCTGTAGACTTGCTAGTTTTGACATTCTTGCGAGATAATTGGCTGTACTGCTGTTTGACACGGCAGCGCAAGAGGCTTTGTAATAATGTAATGAAATGTAATGACTTGGCGTTTGTCTCGGTCAGTGTTGAATTGTCCATAAGAATGAAGTGGGTGAGAAATTTTGCTGCTTTCTTTTGACTGAAGTGTCTAACCATTCCATCCATTTTCTTGTTCTGCATTCATTTATTTATTTATTTTCCTTTGTGGATGATTGAGCTTTCTGCTTTCATTTTCTTGATCTGCCACTTGGGATAAAAGAAAACAATCTAGGCCTGCTCTTTAATTAACCAAAAGAGAAAATTAATAAGTTAGCCTATTCATTTTCATTTGGATGAACAATTTGTAGCTTTTTTTCTCTGTTGAGTCTTTCTCTTCACGAGTGAAGTTGCTGGCTTCTTTTTGGGATCTCTACTCTGAAATCCAAGATGTAGCAGGGTGTCAGAACTAGTTCTCACTATCCTCACATCTCCGCTTTGGAAAGTCATAAAATGTGGAAAGAAAGAGGATTTATGAGGGGGGAAAATCCAAATTCTCTCAATTTTTATCTCACAGAAAACCCGATTTTTCGTTCTGAATTTTTTCTAATGAACACAACTTCTTGAACCGCAAATTGTACTCGGGTTGAAATGGGCAACTGGAACTGGATAATTACAAAAGTCCAAAGGGTCGTGCCCTGCTATATTATTCAAGAATAGACACTTTCATGGAAAATTGTCCCGCTTGTTTGATAGGTCAATATTGCTCCAAAATAATACTCGATAATAAAAAGGAGAGCAAATAAACGTCAGATAGGCATAGTAACACAGATTCGGATTGACAAGTAAGTTTAGCTAATTTCACGTGCAAGTTAGTGAATTTTGAATTATCAAACGCACAATTTTTTTCTTTTCAACCAATGCATTGGGCCTTGACAAAATTCTTTAGGAAAATATTGATGCACGTAACAGTGACATCAAATCAAGAAAATTAGCTACATATATATTATGTCCATGTTAATTGGAAAATTAATTAGATTCGATCAAAGTTTATCGATCGTAAGCAATGAATAGGTAGCGAATTCGAGCACTATATCAAAATTTGGTGATATGAGGGATGGTAACTTTTAATATGGATTGACACTTCAAAAGTCTCGTCAAGTGAAAATTTTCAACAACACAACCAGAGGGCTAAATTTAAAATATGTTTTCCCTCCAAATTGGCTGGTTCTAGAAGGGAAAAAGTTCAAAGGCGGAGAGTGCTTGGTCGCATTCGCGAGAGCGACGGACCGCTCCCGCCTCATTTTCCAAACTTCTGCCATCCCTTTCAGACGTCAAGGGGGGACCTATCCAGGACAGTCGGTCCTGCATTGAAAAAACATAACCAAATGACCGTTCTTTCTTAGTTTAGAATCCTCTGCTGATCTATTCTGATCTTCTCGATTGAGTCTTGACTTTGTGCCCTCTTCAAAATCAATCCCGATGCAAATGTGTACGCTCATGAAAGAGACTGCAGCAGGTTGGTTGATGATGGTGGGTTCCATATATCTACCCCATACGAAGAGGAGTACGGACCCTGTTGTCAAACACCTGGTTGACTTTTACTGTCCCGTGCATTACATGAAGCCCCGAAAGCTTCGACAGTTCTGACCTTAAATGATTAAGAAAAGATTGGATCAGGGGGATATTACTCAATGAGGGTGGCATCACCAACTCTCTCTCTCTCTCTCTAATATTGCTTAAGAAAACCCTACGGAGAGGTCAAACTGGGTGACGCCATCGATTCCTCTGCACAAGTATACCTAACGCACTGTGGAGAGACCCTTATGATGGAAGTCAACGCTCGCACGTCCCGAGTCACATCCCGCTCGCGCCGGTATGCATTACGCACGCAGGGCATGATGAGCTCCTGAGATGGTGAGCGTGAGTAGCAGTGAGCTTTTACATTTGGGAATGATGCAGTTTGCATGCATGGGGGGATCAAGATCGACGCGCGTGAGATGACAACCCTGGCCTCTGGGGTTGCATCATCGAATATTGAGATTTTCTTGCTCCCTTTGGGGCTCAGTGTGTGATTAGGTCATCCACGTTTTTTGATCCATGAACAGGCCAATGTCCACTGCTCAAGACCCGGAAAGAGTTTGCTACTCATGGAGTGGTACGATGAACGCAAGATTTCAAAGGTATCCGAAAAGTTGTGGGCTACATCGTGCCACGTTGCTACACATCGGGGAAAAAGAACGACGATGTTGCCGTTGGCCTCAAAATTCAATTAGATACAGAGAGGAATGGTGACCTAGCCTCCTCCAACAGCCGTCTATCGGCTCATTCACAAAATCATATTTCAAAAGTCACACGTGTTCTATATAACCACAATCCTAAACGAAAATTCACCTCGCAATCCGCACATTTCATCGTGTTTTCCGCATGAAACATACTCGAGTTCGATTCTTTGCATTTTCAGAGGAAGTCTCTCCCTTTCGGACCGAAACTCATTATCTACCGTTTCGGCATCTCTAACGTTACTTTTTCTAAATTCTAATTTTTGCAGCGATAGCGCACCTTCTAATCTGAACGTTAAGCAGAAAAGGTGGATTCTCTTTGGATGCCCCTAGTCTATGGGTTTGTTGTGAGGAAGAGATTAGACGAAACATAAAAAATTGGAACTAGGGTTGACAATCGCTCAGTATGTTTTAGCCGAGAGGGAAAGGCTCCATGGAGCTCAGCAACTGCGTCCGTTTGTAGCGTTTCCCTGCGCATTATCTACGCAAAAAGTGCATTCGCGATAATGACAGGCGGCTTGAAAACAAGTGATCCGCAACAACTACGTGTTCACAAACCAAACCGGGTCAATAACCGTCGCACTCATCACGTAATTGGAGAAAATATATCGCAAGGTGAGTCAACCGGGAGTAACTTTGTCAACCATTGTGACGTTGGCAAGATCCTTACATTATTCCCTTGCCTTGTAAATCAAAACATCAACCGGACGAGGATTGGCCAGGTGGCGCGGATTAATCATATCATAAGATCATCGCCACCATGACAACACGAAGATGATTTCCGATTCCTTGAAGATTACTACTCTTTGCTAAATCACTAACCGCAGGACAAAACTCAGTGTTGGTTTCCAGGTAGCTTCCTCAACTTGTTCGATATTATATCATTTCCGTGTCGTTTTTTTCTCTCTTTCTCCTATGTTTAGTTGTTTACACTTAGGTTACTTCCCTCGATGAACCGAACTGATGAGCCATCGGACCCTTTACCTAATATTCCTAGAAGAAAGAGAGAGAACTAGGGGTGGACAGGGCAACAATAAAACATTCAGAGTTTTGAGAACTGCATGAGGAAAATTGGAGAAAGGGGGTCATCTTTGCGCAAAATGAAAAATCTCACTCTAGTAAACCCCGAACATTGGCGCAATTGGTTGAAACATCGGAGATTTCCAGCTCGGAAACTAGAGGTCACCCATTCGAATCGGATTACTTACTGCATGTAAATTGATCTAGGCCAGGGCCACCTACACAAGTCAAAGGTCTGGACTAAACTGGTTCATAGGCTTGCAGAGTGTTAATGACCCTCCAGGTAGTCGGTTTTCCACGCCCGCACTCCTATGATATAAAGAACACATACACTCCATTATTTGCGAGCTACATAAACCAGAAAAATGAATTTCCCAAGAAAATTGAACTCATGAATATTCTTTTGCTTCATTCTTACAGGTGGGAGATCCTTTGGAAAGAAGTAACCCTCGTCGATATCTGTGTGTGTGTGTGTGGGAGAGAGAGAGAGGGAGAGCCAATAATTCCACAAGATTATTGAATTTAGCAAAGAAACGAATCGAGCTTATCCTCTTATGAAGACAACCCTTACCAGCTCTCACTCAAGAGACCACCCACTTTTAAGTTCTTAGGTCTATGATGATGATGAAATCATGCAATGTCAACATGCAGAGACAGAGAGAGAGCGAGAGATTCCAACCAAGAGACAGAGACAAACAGAAGCATGTCTTCTCCCTCGTCCCAAAGATCTGAGTCAATTTGATTTATTAATTGCGCACACAATAAAATATAATTTTGAGGGAGCGAGTGCTCTTTTGAATTTTGATCGTTTCCTCTTGTTGATTTCTTCTTGGGGTGCGGTTCCCTAGCTCATCTTTCACGTTATGAGAGAAAAAAGATCAATAGCAGAAAATAATAAACTAGGAAACCGAGGTCAATGAGTGGTGTTTCTTCTGCAAAAAGTTTGAATTTAGGAGGCCTATCCTTTTGTTTCGGTCTTGCTTTTCTTGTTGAATATTGCAATTGCTCCTACGCTACCTTTCGTTGACAAGTTGCCCTGTAACAGCTAGGGTGTCTCATTAAACAATGGGCTGTAACCTTTCCTAGAATCGAAAGATAGGCACACATTTGATCACCTTGGGGATGATCTGTTCATATATATGAGAGAATCGCTACCAATCAGCAAGAAGACACATTCTTGCAGTTTCTTAGTAGCTGAAAAAATGGGGGTTTAGCTGGTTTTATAGTCCTTCCTTTTCTTTTGAAAAGCTCATTTACAACTCATAAGAAATGTGTGGGGGGTAACTTTTAGTTGATGGGTAAAGGTAGGGACATCTTAATAGACATTGCATTCTTTAATCTCGCAAAGTTAATAAATTGTCAAACTAGTTTTAATTTCACAGGTCTTTCTCCGAACAGATTTCCTTATCGTGCCGTTTTAACTAGGGTGTAATGCAAGCAAGGTTTTTAAAGCATGTAAACTTGTACCGGTTTGTGATTCTCGCATCCTACATAAGTAATAACAAACCTTAACTAAGTGAGTAGCGGCAGAGCCAAAGGAGATTGAAGGGCAAGTTTGGGCCACCACTCGGTAATATGGAGCAAATAATTTCTTGTGTGAATATGTTTTCTTATAAGTTCAGTCCATCAAGAATTGAGTGATCTTAATTAACCATCAGATATGTGAGTCTAAAATGGAATCCACCAGATTTAAGTAAGTCCAAGCCACAGTTTCACACAAATATATCGATGCCATTGAAGATTTTCATCAAGGTGCGCACTTCGTTCCTCCTAACCCTAATCTGCAATCCATTATTGAATTCATCTTGCTTGTGTTTTGCACCATGTCTGCGACAGGTGAAGATCAAGCGAAAACCTCCCCATTCTCTATCTCATCTTCCTTTTTCTGAAGATAGCACTATGTATTGTTAGGACATGTAACCTCTGGAGTCGCAAAGAATTGCACTGGCAGCTTTCATTAGAACGTGAAACCCTTAAGAAAATAACCAAATACTCCTATTAGTCCTATATATACTTAGCTAGTTGTCTGCTAGCACATGAGAGAGAGAGAGAGAGAGTAAAAAAGGTTTCCTTGAAACTTAAAAACCACATTATTTCTCGGCTAGATAAAAGCAACTTAAGGCGCGAATGATAATCATTTTGTTTCTTTGTTTTTCTATTTTTTTGTTTCCCGGAATAGGTTTGGGATAGAAATCCGTTTGGTAAAATAATTTCATTTTTTATTTTTGGGACAAATTTTGGCCGAGAAATAGAGATTTGAAATAGAAACGAGAAGTTAAAATTTTCTACTTTTTTATTTCTAGAACATAAATAGAAATAGCAACTCTCCCTTATTGCTCACTCTTGCCACCCACCGCAGCCCATTCGCCGCCTGCCCGCTCGCTCGCTGACCATTCACCGCCGCCCGTCGCCGCCGCCCCCTGCCAGCTGCCCGCCACTACTTGCCGGCTGTCCGCCACGCTCCCCGCTGCTAGCCATCATCCGCCACCGCCCGCCGTCGCCTGCTGGCCGCTTGTTGCCCGTCGGAAACAAAAATTTAAAAATAACTTATCAAACGAATTTCTATTTCGAGAATAGAAATATTGTGTCGTTATCAAACGTTACTTTTTGCTCAGAAAATCGTCCAAGGAAGAGAAATAAATTTTTCTATTTCTAGCCAGAAATAGGGCCGGGGACGAGAAATGTTGTCATTCGCGCCCTTAAATGCCTCACTCCAGATTTCACTTATGTACATTTTCTTTAGCCTGAATTCCATGCTCAGAATGGCTCCGACTAAAATAAGAAGAAAAAAGTGGCCAATCATGTCACAACTCTACAAGAAATCTTTAAGGGGGTCATGAAGAGCTTTTCGATAGCAGTCGATAATGGAACATTTCAAAGATGTAGGCGACAAACCAAGAGGATGTGGAGTCTTCTTGGGATCAAGTTTCTGTAGCTTCGCATCATAATAATCTAAGGATCCCCTAATAAAGCAGAGCCATTAAAATAATATTTAGCAGGGAGAAATTTGTGCTCTTCTTTTGTCACCTTGCATGCAATAGTTTAGTTTTAGATGACCGAACTAATCCAAAAAGTTAACACAATGAGAGAGAGAGAGAGAGCATGCAATAGTTTAGTTTTAGATGACCGAACTAATCCAAAAAGTTAACACAATGAGAGAGAGAGAGAGAGAGAGAGAGAGAGAGAGAGAGAGAGAGAGAGAGAGAGGAAACCCTATAGGTGAAATGGAGCAGTGAGGAATTAGAGTACGACTTTTGTCTCTCCAAGAGCATCAAATCAACGCAACTAATTTTCTCTACCTATAAATTCGGGTCTTCCCTTCACCAATTTTTCCCCAACAATCCCAGAAAGGTCTTCAATCTCTCTCCATCAACAAAAACAGCATATAACTTAGCTGGAGCCCAAAAAAAAAAGAAGGAGAGAAGAAGCAATCCGATCATCGTTTGGAGGAAATGGGAAGGGCTCCGTGTTGTGACAAGGCAAATGTGAAGAAAGGGCCATGGTCTCCTGAAGAGGATGCTAAGCTCAAGGCTTACATTGAGAAGTATGGAACTGGTGGAAACTGGATTGCCCTTCCTCAGAAAGTTGGTAAATTCTCAAATCTCTGTCTCTCCCTCTCGTTTGAATTGGTCTCTTCTGAAAGAACACGTTAATATATACCGCATGGTCGATTACTCTTAAAGCTTGAACTGTTAGGGATTTGGGTTTGGTCTCTCAATACAGTCAAATGTTATGACTGATGTTCTTTCTAGTCCGTTTTTCTCAACTTCATGCTTCATCAGACCTCAGCATGGCTGAGTTTTGTGGAATCCTTGTAAAGTTAGAGATGGATATTTGTGGAAAGCTAAAAATTCTTTGGAATGATCAATTACCAAAGTGGTGATCAATATTCAATGTGTCAACAGGGCTAAAGAGATGTGGGAAGAGTTGCAGACTGAGGTGGCTGAATTACTTGAGACCCAACATCAAGCATGGCGGATTCACTGAGGAAGAGGACAACATCATCTGCAGCCTCTACATCAGCATTGGCAGCAGGTAAACTCTCTCTCTCTCTCTCTCTCTAGCTACCAAATTATGTTGAAAGAAAAATGTTATACAAATACCAAGGTCACCTTTCCCAATGGATCAAGAAGGCCCAGTAGCTGAAGGCATTGACCCACACTCAAATCAATCCCACTTTATGTCTTTCAGGTGGTCAATAATTGCAGCCCAATTGCCAGGAAGAACAGATAATGACATCAAGAACTACTGGAACACCAGGCTGAAGAAGAACCTGCTCGGAAGACGAAAGCACAGCATCAACAGCAACACGGTGATGAATCGTTTCTCGTCATCGCACACATCTCAATTGAACCCAGCAAGAAATCTGAACACTGCATCACCAGACGATGATGACTCTTCGTCACCATATAACTCACATGCTTTGAGCAACTCTGCCCTTGAAAGGCTTCAACTCCACATGCAGCTTCAGATCCTCCAAAACCCTTTGTTCTCAAGCTTCTACAACAACCCTGCACTTTGGCCCAAGATTCACCCCCTGAGAGAGAAGATGATCCAGAGCCTCCGCCTCTTGAACCAAAACCCTAATAACACTAATTGCCCCGGTCTCATTGAACAGCTTGCACTGGCCAATGGGTCTCAACAACAAGCTGAGGACATCGAACGGAACAAGGCTGATCTCTATGACCTCACCTCCACTGATCCTAATGATGTCTCACTCCAACATGATTCTCTCAAGATCACCGCTTCCAAGATCGAAGACCTGGTGAACTCTTTGAGCACTGGGGGATCGGCTTCCTCGGATGGCTCGGTTTCCTTCAACTACGCCAAGAATTTGATCGACCCAGCCCTTATGGCTGAAGTAGATGGTGCTGAAGCAATGTCATATGGTAATGCATACACCGGCGCTGCGTCAAACATCCAAGCTGAGCTGGACAATATGGGGAATGACAAAGCAGCCAATGATTTCGCGCCTCGGGAGGATCATCCGAACACTAACGCCGAGTTCGATTATTTCAAGGAAGTGAATGGTTCTAAGGACAACATCCTCTGGTGGTCTAATGAGCTAGACATGAAATTGGCATCCGCCATTTCCTGGGATTCGGCGAATCACTCCGTTTTCCAGAACGAAGGAATGTTCCAAGACTATGGATCAGGAGCAATCAGCGGTAGCAGCCAGTATTAGAGAGGCATTTTGTCTTGCATGAACATATTTTTCCCCAAGGGCATAAGATGGAGAGAAGAACGATTTCGATGCCTCGCTTTGTAAATCGTGTGAATAACAATTGTATTAGCTTCAATTATGACTACTATCAAGTGTTCCCTCTTCCCTCTCGAAACAAATTATAATTCAAATAATTGTTTCAGCATGCATTCATTTCGTGATGAAGAAGACTACATGCATATATTGATGTACTATTTCCCTTCATATATATCATATATTTATTCAAAAAAATTTGGGAATATGATAGCTAGTCTTATTTCTCTTTCCTTGTAATTGAGTGGTTTCGCCATCCGGAAGCTGGGCGTGGCTCCAATAATAATATTACAAAATGCCTTACTATATAAAATCTATTTACGAAGTAACACTAGGTGTATTTCTGTAGGGAAAGTTGATATATAATAAACAAAAACAAACTGACTTTTTATCTCGAACCTTCATGCTGTTTAAGTTAATCAAATCTCAGAATATGCCTAACAATATTGCCACTTGATAAGCTCTTAGTCCAATATTCTGACAAGAAAGAAGAAAAGGAACTCTTAGTGCACTAGCCAGATTTGAACTGCTGCACAATGTTAGCATCTCTTTAGCCAACGCAAGACCCTTATATGTTCACACATGCGAAGTGGTTGATCAAAATTGTTAACAATTTATGACTTCGAGCAACGCAATCCACGTGGTTAAGAGCGTGACCCGACGACTACAATGTACATTAATTATTAACTGGTTGATTCCATATAAAAGATAGAGGTAAAGCCCGAATTTGCAGTACTTGATAACATCTAAGAAAATGTATAATAATCTCACTTTCATTAGCATTTGATAACTTTTCTCCGTTTGGGACAACGGCTAGTAAATACTGCGTACATACTTGTGTCCTCAATTCATGAGTTAGGCTCCGTTTATCTCTTTCTTTTATAGGTAGCGTGGATACAAAATTTAACTCCTTTCCATCTTGGTAATATATCTTATCTTACCTTCACTTTCGGATAATGTAAAAGGTTTCTAGAAATGTAAATGTGATGATTTTGATGAATGTGCCAATATAGGGAGCAGAAATTTGTCCATGATTTAGTATGCCTTCCGACAAGATCCTTTTTCCTCTGGATAATCAGGCATGGTTCTTGCTTTTTGGACAAGCTAATCATTAAAATCACTAGTAACTACATGGGTTCAGCCCATGGGCTAACACAGGTGGATGAATGGTAGAATCAAAGATATTGAAATGGTTGTAGTTCAGAACAACAGTAATATTCCTAGAGCCAGACCCTAAACCTCAAAGATACCCTTTAATCCACAGAGGTTAACTTCCAACATGGATTCGTATATTCATGAGGTCATGCCATCCATCTAAGTTTAGCTTTTATCCGGTGACAATCTCGACCAAGGCCCCGAAGTTCCTCGTGGAGCGACCTTGTGGCTCCACGGCCGCCAAAGCCATCTCCTTCAGTGCCCCGGCTCTCTCCCTCATCCCCTTCCCTTCCTCGCCGGCCAGCACCCGCTCGAGCATGCCCGCCGTCGCCTCCTCTGTGAACGCTCCCCCCTCCACTGCCACCCCGATCTGCCAAACTGCCTCCACGGCCCTCGCATTCATGCTCTGGTCCCCGAAGAAGGGCCTCCCCACCATCGGCACGCCCCCGATCATGCTCTCCAGCACCGAGTTCCACCCGCAGTGCGTGACGAACGCCCCCACTGCCCTGTGCCCCAGCACGTGCAGCTGCGGGGCCCACGGCACCACCTTCCCCCTCGTCCCCGTGGCCCTGTCGAGGAACTCCAGCGGGAGCTCCGCCTCGGCGTCGCCCCTGAAGGACCAGAGGAATGGGAAGGCGGTTTTATCCAGAGCGTTCGCGATGGCGGTTATCTCGTGCGGGGGAGGCCTGAGCATGCTCCCGAAGGAGACGTACACGACCGAGGCCGTCTCCTGCTCATCCAGCCACGGGATGCAGCCGTGCTCATCCGAAAGCGCCGGCGGAGGCGACAGGACTAACGGCCCGACGTCAAGGAACATCTGCAGTTTCGAGCGGAGCTCCCTCTGGACGATCGGGTCTGCGTCCTCGAAGGAGTTGCAGACGACGGCAGTCGCCTGAGGAAGCACTTGACCCATTCTGTAGAGCAAAGTTGGGAAGGGCGAGATTGCATCGAGGAGTTCTTTAGGCAAGTCCACCATTCGCAGCGCCGAAAGCCCCGGAATCCCATCGAGCGTCTCGCCTTCGATTCGTGCAAAAATTTCGTCAAAGTTCGACAATTTTAGGATGACTGAGGAATACAGTTTAGCAATCAAATGAATCGCTCTGCCAACAGAAACGTTTTCTATTGCTCACAAAGAGATGACACATTCATGGAACTTCACAGCACATGACAAAGCGTCAGCATCTTAGGTATATATGCACAAGATATAGATAATCAAATCCAAAACAATCCACCTTAAAATTTGCTCTCGGAAGCATTACTTGCGATTGTTAGGGAAAAACTAAACGGGTTGAATGAGGATAAATGAGGCCACTAAATTGCATTGAGACAATTTCAGATCCTCGCTTCATCATGTTGATCTCATCAAATTCCGGTGCAGGAGCACACGCCCCGTTCCAATCTTTTCACTTCAAAACGGGTGATCAAGGTCATTTGTTGCTTTTGAAGGACCAAGTACAAAACGCATTGCTATGAAAGAATACATGGAATTTTTTAGGTTCACCCACTACTTTCCCGTATCTATTTGAAACTTTTGTTGCCCTGTATATTTTTCTGATAGTCAAGACTGTCGATCGTTGATAAAGACTAAGAAGATGACAAGTCCTTCTCATCTTTCGTGGAGAAGCATTCAGGCCCATACCTAACCAAGATGCTCATGCAATGTTACTATCACACACCATACAATTGATGCAGCTCAAATTCATAGGCAGCTCGTTATGTTGGTAAGTCCGCCGAAAACAATAAGCTATACGTAGTTCATGCTACGGCTCAGCATAATCTACGCATTCACTACTACCAAGTAAGAATTCTATATAAGCAGCACCTGATCCGACTCTTCCATTACCAAAACAGACTCACCTTAATCAAATGAAACACATTTCATAGCATTTTGTTATCAGACTTCCTTGTTATACGGATGTTATAGTTCGAGTCAGGCCGATTTGCTCGATTCCTCGGGGTCTATCGGACTATTTTCTTTAGGTTATCATGAGTTCCGGTATTACCTGAGGTTGCATACATTTGTCGGATCGCGTCTGTCTCCATGTGCGTGAGGAGGGCGCAGGGGCCGGCGGTCCAGACCGGAACCCAGGGCACGCTCCGCTCTCGAGCCATGTCGGCAGCAAACCAATAGAACGCGTCTGTCAGCAGGCAGGTAGCCTTGCACCCTCTCTCCCTCTCTGCCACGTGGAGCACGCTCTCGATGTTATCTGGCGCTGCGCGCAGGAAGATCTCCACCGGCTCCACGGGGTTCCTCCCCGATGGCACGTACCCATCGGGCGCACCGTCCCACACGTCGTACGCCACAAGGTTCGGGCATGCGCTGCCATCGCCGCCGCTCCTCTTGCCCCCCGGGAAGCACGCGAGGTTAGATTTCTCCGAGCTGAAGAAGGAGAACATCGTGGCGGGGGACACTGCCGCTATCCGCCGCACTAGGTGGAGGAGCGGCGCCGCATGCGTGGCGAACGGGAACGCAAGCACGGCCACATGCTTGCGGGCGGGAGAGTCTTCCGTTCCCGCCATGAGGGGTGGGCGTCGAGAGGCGTAGAGAGAGAGAGAGAGAGAGAGAGAGAGAGGGACGGAGGCTACGCCGGTAACGGTGGATCGTAAGACTTGAACACTCTGCGTTCGGTATGTGTGGGTCACGATTTAGAAGGAGAGATTGGCCTGTACTTATATGGACTCCGGGTAACAAACTGGCGTTTTCTCGAATTCTAGAATGCGGGTACCGTTGTCTACCCGTATTCTGTTGATACGATAGCTACTCGCATAGTATGAAAACCCTGAATCTGTGGGAATGAGCTGTAAAATACGTGTAGAAGTTGTAATAGCTAAATTAGAGGATATGCCTTATTAGGAGTCTTTATGTTTATACCAAAAAATGGCGAACTTGTCGACATGGGAAATACACGACAGAGGCATGAATTACACATTCCGTCGTCGACGATTGTAGAAAGTAATATCTATTTAGTGCATCGATGATGTTTTAGTCGTGGTCGATGAGTGTTTGTACCAAAAATCATCAAGGGACACATGGTAGAGGCATGAGGCAACATGGAAACAAATATCATCAAGGGACATATGGCAGAGGCATGAGGCAACGTGGAAGCAAATATCATCAAGTAGAAAATATCATCTTGTGGATATGTTTACACCTAAAAATGACTAATTTTTGGGTATTGTCGACAAGATTGGGAAAACGAGCAGAAATTTCAGTTCTGCGCTAGCTCGGGAAAATGGTCATAACTTCGTCGAGATATATCGGATTGACCTAATTCGAAATCCAAAAGAACGAAGACTCCTGGATCTACAACTTTTAAGTTTTGAGTTTTCTCAGAAAATCACTGTAGAGTTGTCGACGTTAAAAAGGAAGTCGACGGTCATGACTGGTCATAACTTCGTCGAGGAAATTTCAGTTCTACACTAGTTCGGGAAAATGGTCATAACTTCGTCGAGACAGATCGGATTGACCTGATTCCAAAGCCAAAAGAACGAAAACTCTTGGATCTACAACTTTTATGTTTTGAGTTTTCTCAGAAATCACTGTATAGTTGTCGACATTAAAAGGAAGTCGACAGTCGTGACTGGTCAGGATGCGGAAATTGACAATCTTGAAGGAATCGACAAAAAGTGGAGTTGACAATCTTGGATACAACTATCGAAGAAGTAACCGTCAACATAGTGGGGTCGAAGCAACCGCCAACATAGTGAAGTTGAATAAACCGTCAAGGTAATAGACTCAACACAACTAATAGAAACGACTAAGGAGCATACATGTATATCTTAAGGGAACAATTACTTGGAAGCATGATCATGAGACGGTTATCACTTGTAGACAAGATTGTGGAACAGTTATCTTGAAAGCAGGATCATGGCATCACATGGACATGTAGACAAAATTTTCGGAATGGAAGAACATGGGCACAACCATTGAAAACCGCTAAGGAGCAGTTACCACATAACCATTATAAATATCACCGGCCATGTACTGGAGACGGCCCCCCTGAAAAATCAAACAACATGTTATCTTTCAATTATCTTTATTTTTATGTACCGCACTTTACTTTTCCTTAGCTATAATTTTTCGATTTGCGTCATCGATTAAATTCCAGCTTGTGTCTCTATCTTGAGTGTTGTGTTGTAGATTAAATTCCGGCGTTACATCTTTGTATAAGTGTGTGGCTGTATTTTCAAGCTTTATCGTCGATTAAATTCCGGCACGGTTTATACGTATAGTCCGATTCAAAGTTTGAAGTAAAAGTTTACAGTTTTTCCTTGTCTTCCTGGATATTTCTTGTTCGGAGTATCCACGGAACCCGGTCTCCTCTCATTAAGAACCGAAGAACGACGTTTGGTGAATTATATTTCGTCACGGGAGTATTTCTGGAGAAACACTTTCCTTCCTCTGTATATTTGTATATATAATATATATATATACCTCTAGGTCATTGTAACATATATAGAAGAAAATATACAGAAAATTGAGGAATAATATTTTTTCCTCTAAAACTCTCTACGTTAACATGATATCAGAGCAAGGTTCGATTAGGGATTACTAACCTGATCAAACTAGACCCAGATAGCCGACAATTGCCGCAACCATACTGGTTTAGTACGGGTGCCGCACTGACTAGTTCAACCAGAACACTCGAAGATTGCCATGACCACACCGGTTCCGTACGGTTATCGATAAGCTCACCCAAAAACTACCACCACTGTTTTTTATTCTTGTGTACACACAGACCCATGACGAATCGGAATCCTACAAGAGCAATGATTCCCCACCAAAATCAAGGGGGGAATTTGATTACATAAGCACTTTTGGAGAATCTGACCACCAAATTGACTCAGATTTTGACTCAGAACCAGACTCCTTCCCCGACACCGCATAATGATTCATCTTCATCACATATTGTAGTTAAGTTGGATGGAACCAACTATGGCTTATGGTCTTAGGTTGTCGAGATGTATATCACAGGCAAAGACAAGATGATATACATCAATGGAGACCTCCTTCAGCCTCTACCTATAGACCTTCAATTTCGGAAGTGGAAAACTGAAGACTCAACTGTCAAAGGGTGGCTGACCAACTCAATTAACCCGACCTTAATTGGCAATTTCATTCGCTTCCCAACAGCGAAGCCGGTCTGGGATTCAGTTGCAATGACCTCCTTCGATGGAACATATGCCTCCTAGGTTTATGACTTGAAGAGGCGTGTGGCTCGGATGAGACAAGCAGGAGGACCAATTGAGGCATACTACAACAACCTTTAAGGTCTGTGGAGAGAGAACGATTTCCGTCGTCCAAACCCAATGAGATGTCCTAAAGATATTGAAAGAGACGATATGGCTATATAGGAAGATCGGGTATACATCTTTCTTGATGGGTTGGACGATCGTCTTGACAAGGTCCGAGCATATGTCTTGCAGATGTAGCCGTTTCCTACGGTTGAACAAGCCTATGTGCGTGTCCGACGGGAAGACATAAGACAAACTGTAATGCTGACCAACAGTGACACTGCCCATGATTCGGCAGCCATGATATCCCGGGGGAATAAGACGAATGTCAAAGCGAACCAAGAACTGTTGTTGCAAATGGCTAAGCTTGGGGTTGCGCTGGAAGGAGGAAGACCTAGCTTAGCTCCACACAAGACAAATTCTCTTGGGGGAAGTTGCTCAAATTGTGGTAATGCTAAGCATACTAGGGAGATGTGCTTTAAACTTCATGGATATCCAGACTGGTGGAAGGAGTTGAAGGCTCGTAAGCAAGTAGAAGGAAAAAGGGAGAGCTTCTCTAGCGACCGCAGAGCCTTAACTGTCATTGGTACCTCACATGGATCCACATAGTAAGCAGAATGTGATGTGATAAGGTAATTATGGTAGTGCTTTGGTTAGTTCCAATCAGGCGGACTGTAATCACCGGATCATTGATTCGGGAGCTGCGGATCACATGACATTTACTCCTGATGATTTTGTTCGTACTTCAGAACCAAGATGTGATAGTATCTCAAATGCTAATAGATTCACCTATCCGGTGACTGGGGCTGGAATTGTTGCGATTTCCCCTGCACTCTCTCTCCCCAACATGTTGCTTGTCACTTCATTATCCACCAAATTAATTTCGATTGGACAAGTTATTGAAGATTTGAATCATGTTGTTCTAATGTATCCCCACTTTTGTTTATTTCAGGATATTCTCACGAAGGAGATAATTGGGCGTGGTACTTAAGAGAGGGGGGCTATATTACATGGATGACTTCAATTCCGGGAGTGCAAATCACGTTTGAGGTGCATCTATCAATAGAGAGAAATAGATATGGCTTTTGCATCGACGGTTGGGACATCTGTCATTTGGTTATTTGAAACAATTATTTCCTGATCTTTTTTTGAACTTGAAGGACTTAGATTTACAATGTCAGACTTGCATATTGGCTAAGAGTCATAGAGTTCCTTTTTCAATAAGTTTAAATAAAAGTGAAGTTCCTTTTTCTTTGATACATTCGGATGTTTAGGGTGCATCTCCTGTTACTACTGTTTCAGGTTGTAGGTGGTTTGTGCTATTTGTTGATGACTATACTAGGATGACATGGCTTTACTTGATGAGAAGCAAAAATGAGGTAGCTAAGATATTTCGGAATTTTCGTACTATGTTACAGACCCAATTTGATGGGCAGATCCAGATTTTAAGAAGTGACAATGGTGGGGAGTACATAAATGAATATCTTAAGGAATATTTTCAACAACATGGCATGATCCATGAGTCGTCCTGCTCCCAAACACCTCAGCAAAATGGTGTTGCCAAGAGAAAGAACAGACATATCCTCGAGACAGCTCGAGCTCTCTTGATTGAGAGTCACGTGCCTAAAAAATTTTGGGATAGCGCTATGGCTACAGCTGTGCATCTTCTCAACCGGATGACGTCTAAAGTGTTCAACTTCCAAACACCATTACAGGCCTTGTCCACATATGTTTCTTTACCATCTGTCCTAACCATTCGTTCTCGGGTGTTTGGGTGTGTTGCATTTGTACATATCCCGAAGAACTAGCGAGCGAAACTTGATCCCTGTGCATTGCGATGTCTATTCTTAGGGTATGGTACACACCAGAAGGGGTATCGCTGCTACAACCCTTCCACCCGACGAACCTATGTCACTATGGATGTCTCGTTTGTTGAAGTTCAATCCTTTTACTCGGACTCCAATTCTCCCTTTTAGGGGGAGACAGACAGAAAAGGTCGAATTGGTGGGAGTTTTCTGGTAGTATATTTTTCTGAGGAGGAGGAGGGGTAGAGACAGCGGATAGGCAGCTTGGGGGAGTGGAGGAGGAGGCGTCGTATGATGCAGGGCAACTTCGGCAAGTGCGAGAGTCGCCAAAAATGGGAGTTGTGGTGCCGGAGGAGGCCGTACAGGAGGAGGTAATGACTGAGTAGGTGGTGCCGGGACATTGAACAGACCCTGGCAAGGGGTGGGCAACTCCTACAGGGGCAAAATCACGAAGAACAGCTTCCCTCTTCTCCAGTACTCGACTCAACTGCTGAGGATATTCTTGAGGTAACCTCTCCTACTCCTTCTTGTGTCTTTGATGAGCTTAATACTTTTGTGGTATATAAACTACTTGCTAGGCACAATCGAGGCAAGCCCCCGAATAGATATTCACTGAATGTTGAAGAGAAGAGATCGACCTACCCTATTGCGAATATGTGTTCAACCAAAAGGTTGTTAGATCCATTAAAGATATTTGTGTCGAATGTATCTGCAATCCGTATTCCAGAAGGGGTACATGATACT